TGTACTCTCAATGTAAAATTCTCATTCAGTGCCACTTTATAGAAACAAAAGGACGGTTTGCCTATAGAATTCCTCTTGGGTCCTGATGGTGTACCTGAATATGTTCTAAAACAATGTGCAGATGCTTTATGTTCTCCACTTACTAACATCCTAAATGCTTCTTTCTCTAAAAACGGTGTACCTGTTTAATGGAAAGACATTAAAATAGTCCCTTTCCCTAAACCTGGTAATAGCAAGAAGGTAAAATTCAGACCCATTACCATCACTTCCCCGTTTCTAAAGCTCATGGAAAAACTAGTACTTCTTAAATCCGAACCCTCCCTTAAAAGCTTTGAAGATCCCCGAACAATTTGCCTATAGACAGGGTAGGAGAACTTTAGACACTGCAACCGTCTTACACAACAGTGTCGTCTCATTATTAGATAAAGGTGCCAAATACGTTCACTGCACGTTCCTCGACTTCACTTCTGCTTTCGACTCTGTACCTAGATGTCTCTTGGTAAATAAGCTCTCTATGACACAAACTGAGTCCTGGGTCAGTAACTGTTTGCATTCCTACTTCTCTAGCAGAATGCAGTACACTGTATACAAAGGCAAATCCTCCTCTGCTGTGCTCATTGAAGCTGGTTTCCCCCAAGGTGCTGTACTCTCGCCACTTCTCTTTTCTCTCTCTCTTTCTACATGACTTACCATCTTCAAATGACATTGATTTTGTTAAATATGCTGACGACCTGACTGTATCTTTGCCGGTCAAATGTCAAAGTGACTGCTCTAAACTAAATGGCTTTTTATCAGAAATCAGCCAGTGGTCCAAGGAAAACGGTCTTAACTTAAACCCCTCCAAATGCCAAACAGTCGATTTCACATTTAGGCATAAATCTGACCTAAACAAACTGGTTAGCACTCACGAGGTGTGCAACATAGATGGCACTGAAATAGAAACCAAGTCTGAAATTAAATATCTTGGTGTCATTCTATCTTCTGATCTCTCCTGGTCATCTAATATCTTGATGATTTCTAAGATAATATTCCGTCTCACCCTCTACATCAAGAAGTTAGGGCATTCTGATACAACCCAACCCTTACCCCTACAATTCGTTGACTCTTGCATCCTGCCTATTATTCTCTATTGCTCCCCCTTAATTTTTCCAGGGCCACTGAATAAAGACTATATCTTATTAGGTAGAATGTTAAAGGTTGTCAGCAGGGTAAGCCACAGGGTGCCACTTAACCAGCTTGTTAATATTTTGGTTGACAGGCACTACGACTCATGTTTAAAATGGCCTAAATCCATTTTATCTAACTCACACCACCCTCTTCATTCACAACTCTCCCCTAGTATCTCATCAGGCAGAACCAGAAGCCTATATAGAAAACTATATGCTCGCACTAGCTAGTACAAAAATTCAAGCATGTCCTACTTAGCTCGTGTTCTGTGCGATAAAGAAAGCATTATTAAATAGTCAGTAGAACAACTGGATGTCGTCTTTCCAACTCATATCATTTATGGGTACAACGTTTCCTTTCTTTCTTTTCCTTTTCTCTCTCTCTTTTTCTGTTATGTGCTGTTTTATTTCTCTCTTCCTTACATACTCTACTTAAAACATTCTTCGTTCTCTCACACTCTGTATATCTTGACCTTTTGATACCGCTTACGCCAGTGAATATGCTAGCATCTACTTTTCTAACACCTTCTAACACTCTGTTTAATTTTGGCTTTGCTACCGACATGCCAATATGTTGTTGTCATAATGAATTGAAATTTCCTTAATCCATGTAGAATTTTATTCATTGTTAATGTATTAACTGGATGCAATACTGTAGTGAAATGCTGAGAATTCCATTCTGTATCACAAGTACTGTTTTGGAATAAAGCAAATTATTATTATTATTGCTAGCGTTGAGAACGACCCATTAAAGTCGACCATTGACAATTTACAACTGCATAGAAGTACGTATATGACATTTCCATCATTTGAGACAATTGTTACGACTCTAATCAATTACTTCATGTACTCAACAGCTGGAATAGGTCAATAAAATTCATTCTATAAATGGAAAACGAATCCAAAGCTCCTTTTTCTTGATATGGAACTAACAAGACTACCAGACGGAACTATAAGAAGGTCAGTACATAGAAAACTTACTTGGAATGATCAACTAACAACAGGTTTCTACAGTGGAGCGCTTGTTGAAAGAAACGAAATCTAAGTAAATACCTTGTCGCTCAAATTCAATGTGTCTGCACTCCTGACACCTCAGAAGCAGAACTAGATCTTCTGAAAGAAACCTTCCTTCCAAATCGATAGTCACCAAGATTCTTCGACAAGAATATCAAATCAAAAGTCCAAAGGAACGAAACTTCACTCCAAAAAAAGAAAGTTTACATGATTTGTTACAGGATTTCCTCATGAGATGACATCAGTTAGAGAACCATTGGAAAACCATCTGGGAGTACTGGACAGCTTTTTCGTCCTAGTTGGGGACTCTTCATCAGCACTCACCCACTGGCTTTCAAACCCAATCGTTCTCTAACCGATATCAGCTCGTGGTGAAATCCTGTAACAAATCAATCAAATCCCTATAGATCGATACTTGAAAATTTACATGAATCAGGATTTCAAGGAGGATGTGGCCTGCTATATCCTCATGAGAATAATTTCATCATCTTTGAGAAGAACATTCTTCGTAATAACACTAAGAGTAGTTTTCTGTAGCCGTACGTCGTCGGTCTGCAGCAACCGGAAGGACAAGACCTTTCATGTGATCAGTTCTGTGTGTGCATATCAGTTCAGCTGTTGCTGTGGATCGATTGATGCATATCCTGTGTAAAAAGATTCAAGAACACTATCCTATCACATGGTTGCAGAAAGGTAGTAATTGCTCTATAAGGAGTATGATCATTGAACACCTTGACAACCACCACTGGTCATTACATCTCCACAAACGCCTTCTCCTTCTAAGTAATCTACAAAGTCAAGAACAACCTGCCATAGGCAATACGCTTTCGTCTCATATGCAATACTAAAGCCTTAGTCATTCAGTTAGGGAAAGGAGAGTTATGCATACAAATGAAAATGATTCAACCACCTCTACTGTTATGGTAACAACCCTATTGTTTCTACCATCTTGTATTTTTTTTTAATTTCTGTTTTTCTACCAACCCACAACTCTTGTAATTCCTTAGAACTCTTGCGTAATTCCATATTCTATGTGCTTCCTGACTGTAGCTCACTCATTAAATTATTCATCTTATTACACAACTATAAAACACTTATTCAACTTCTTTTATGCATTGATTACAATTAACAACTATTGTTGGTGTTAGATGGTTGGAGGCAGTCCATAGGAAGCCATAGATCTAGGATTCATGCTAGTTGTGGCAGTCGTCATCAGCAAGGCATTTCTCTGCAACCTTGAACGAACTCATGTCAATCGCCAGCTCAAATAGCTCAGTGGTGGTGGTAACGTCTCTGATTGAAGCACTGGCTGGTGATGTGGGTTCGAATCTCAGAAGGGACATGAGTTCCTTCAAGGTTGCTGATATACCTTCCTGACTAGTGAGTACAAACTGTCAAGAAACCTAGATCCAAGGTTTTCTGGCGATTGCGTCCAACCATCTAACACCAACAATTCAAAGTGCACCGTGATGGCGAGTCACCCACTGGTATGGTAGTCACATTGAAAACTTGACTAGTAGAATTCAGTCCGCACCAAACAAAGGACTAGACACATTACACTTATTACCAATTAGTGTCCCCAACCAGATGAACAACTGTGTTTATGACACATCATCACTTTCGTTACTAGCCTCTTTCATGAAAAAGAGATTATATATAAATACGATTGTATAACTAAAGAGGAAAATGAATTCGCCGTGCAAAATAGTCTCTTCACTGAAGTAAACGTGTCTGTGTGGTGGCACAGCGGTTACAACTCTCGCCGACCATGCACGTGGTCTGGGGTTCGATTCCCTGCCGACACACACCTAATATCAATGGTCGACCAGCAAAATTTGGGCTACCGACATCACATTCTGAAAATTACATATTTGTACCGAAAATACGGTGTGGAATCAAGCTATAATCAAAAAATAAATAAAAAAAAATAAAATAAGGAAGGTAATTGTGCAATGTATACACTATATTTCACATCGGAAACATCGTTACAAATAACGAATGTTTTACAAAATAAAGTAAATTGACTCATAGTTCTATATCTCTGATATGAGATGAAGGAAGCAGATAGGTTATGAAGAGGTGCCGTAGGTGTGTGTTTGTGTGTGCATGTGTCTGTGCAAAAGACATACATTTTTAATAATGCAAATGGGTCTCTTCATCTATACATCAGCATGTCTGTACATCTCTGATAGTTAAATGGCTTCAAAAACATCTGCCATTTATAATGATATCACATTTTACAAATTAAATCATTTCAAAGAAATGAAACACGACAAGACATAATTTAAACAAAAACAAATTCCTCCATATTTTCTTTTTGAAATATTATCGAATAATAAAAATGAAACTGGAGTTGTTTAATGTGATACGTTTTCAAAAAACAAGAAAATAATAGTAATAATTTAAATTAGTGTCAATACGACAATATTGAACACAGAAAAGGATACAAGAAATCTTGTTTTACAAAATCAAGATACACTATTTAAAATAAGCGGGTTTTAAAAAAAAGTGATATAAACAAAGTGTTTATCTAAGTAAGAGGATGGATGTCATAGGTTTAGATGAAATAACAACTTTCTACGTTAGGTATGTGATATACAAACTCAAATGAAAGAAAACTAATCGTTACCATCTCTATTAGCATTACCATTACCATCCTAATATCAATGATATGCTTATTATGTTGTTTACCTAAATCGTTACTATGGTAACTAATCACAGATGATGAAGAATCGGATTGCATGTCTGTTTCTTGTTGTCAAAAGAAAGGACTCATGTTTGTGAAGGCTTCACACTTTCATACTCGATACATCTTCTAGTTTATTCAGCCATTTTGATATTATCACTATTTTTCATTTGATCTTTTATTTCAGTCCTTTTACCCTCATCATTACTGCTGCTATCTTTGTCAAAGTGAGTTGGACGTGTTGACATCACTATTTCGGGTGTAGATGCTAATGATAATGATGTAGACGAGGAGGAGGAGGACGACGACGATGACGAAGAGGACGATGATGAAGAGGATGAAGAAGTCGATGACGAGGATGAAGACGTGGAGGATGCAGATAATGATGTCGTCAATCCTGATGTACTAGGATGTTTACACCTCATTTTTGCTAGATCACTATCACTATCTACTGATATAACAGCCTTTTCAAATTGAGGTAATAGCAAAAATGCTTCAAGTAACTGTGAACCAAAATTCATTAAATCAATAGGTCTTATTTGATGTTGAATAAGCACTGATTCAGCATTAGCCTTCTCGTCAGAGTGATCGTCTTCTTTGGCATCTTTCCGGTGTGGTTGTTGTTGTTGGTGATGTTGTTCAACACTTTCAGAATGTTTATTTTTTTGCCATTTACGATAAATACCACAATAGGATGCTTCAATTGTATACGAGCGTAGAACATTGAATTCACGCCAAACAGCTATTCGAGCTGTAGTCTCTTTAGCTTTACTAACCACATATCTGTAAATGAAGAAATAAGAAGGTTAAAGGTGAAATGAAATAAATGAGGAGAACGTCTACAACAATTTGTACTACACTTACTCTGGATATAGATACGTGCGACTGAAGAGCCTCAAAAGGGTCGAAATTCGCTAGTAAATAACATTTTCATGAGACACTAGGTCCTTTGTTTGGTGCAGACTGAATTCTATCAGTCAAGTTTGTAATATGACCGACTATAGTGGATGTTTCACTATCACTGTGCAAGTGGTTGGTCTCATTCGATTGTGGTGAGAGCAGGCCGTGAGAAAATATGAGCAAGGCTGATTCAACAACCAATCACAGCAAAGTTAACGTGGCAAAATATGACTCGCAGATAGAGAACTCTATTTGTCGAGGAATCCCGAAACAACCAATCAGAAGCCTGCGTTTGTCTGCCTAACTTCTGATAAACAACCAATCAGATAACTGCGCTTGTCTACTTGCATAAGCTATAATAATGTATGTGAAATATGTATAAATACGTGTTGATTTTCATAATAAAACGATCTGTTGCTTCGCCCTTGTCTTCTGTTGTTACAAGATGTTTGCTCTATATTTACGAATGTACCGTTAGTAGAAACTGGTTTCTATACATAAGTATTGAAGGTACCAACTAACTATCTGAAGCAGCTGTAACTGAGATGCACGCTTAGTTTGCAGTTTAGATTTAACAATTTCATTTATAATTAAAGAGATAGAATCGCCATTGGGTCCGCATTAGGACCACTCCTAGCGGATGTCTTAATGGCAAGCTTAAAGAGGGCTCCATTGGAAGAAACAATCTCGCGTTTATATATGTCTAAGTGATATATTGACGATACCTTCATTATTTCTAACGACACCTGTTCAACTGTAGAGCTTCTTGAAAAATTCAATGGATCTCACCCATCGATGCTTTTCACTATTGAAGAAGAATCAAATTCGACATTTCACTTCTTTGAGGTAATGGTTAAATAGAAGACAGAAAAGGTACGTTAAAAAGGTCAATTTATCCAAAGCCAACATTTACAGAGCAGTACACTAACTCTTCAACAGTTGGATGCCTACCTCTAGGTAGGATGAGAAATCTTATCCGTTCCCTATGCTCTAGAATACGGAAAATTTGCTCTATAGATATGGTTAACATGGAACTAGAAAATTTTCGCACAACGTCCTAAAATAATTGATATCCTAGAAGGTTTATTGACAGAAACATCAGGAAGGAAATCGTTCCTAATGAAATCATAGTGCCAAAAAAGACACAGCTTATGTGTGTAACGATCAAAGGTGACAATGTTGCTGAAGTCATTAAAGGTCAAAGACGTGTAATCTAGGGAAGCACCTTGAACAGGTTTTTTTATTTTTTTTCAATTTTTTTCAATTTTTCTGATTACAGCTTGATTCCACCCTGTATTTTTGGTACAAGTAAGGAATTTCCAGAATGTGATATCGGTAGCCCAAATTTTGCAGGCCGACCATAGATATCAGGTGTGTGCGTCGGCATGGGATCGAACCTCGGACCACGTGCATGGTTGGCGAGAGTCCTAACCACTGTGCCACCGACGCACAGAGACAATATTATGACATAAAACGACAGTGGCATGGTATTTCGTAAATTATATCATTCTGACTAATTGAGTTTGTCAAGTCCTTAAGCCCACTGAGAGCCACCACTAGCAAGGAGGTAGCATCACGCTTCAGGAAAGTGGATCTGTGACTCATTGGTAACTGGTTTTCGACTTTCATCCAATGGACCATAGGCTGGAACGTTGACCCACCCACCGAGTTTCCGACAGTTAGGTAGTATCACTAGTTCTTACACAATTAGTATGATTCATCGCTCCCAACTATATAGAAAGTCAAGTGTTTATTGAGCAACATTTAAAAATTATTATTTTCTTTGGAAACCTCGCCTAGATTATTAGCTCACTAGTTTTCTAGCCGGTCCGAAGTCCGGATAAAGAGGGAGGGTGAGGGCGTAGTGCTAATAAATCCACCCCCAAAACTTAACCAAATTGCTACAGTAACTTCAACGCATAAATATATCAAAAATACTAAAAATACTATACTGAAGATCAGATTGCCGGGCTGGAAATAATCACCAACAAGAAACTATGGGAGCAAACAAAACACGAAGAAGAACCAATCGCCAACCAACAAATATGCAGGAGAAAGTGGAGATGGATTGGACACTAGCTGAGGAGGCGGCCGCCGGGTGACATCGCGCGCGCGTCAGCCCATTGCTCGAGTGGAACCAGGCAGAAAGGGAAGCAGCAAGTGGGACATCGGTGCAAGGGTGACATGGAGGAGATCGTATGAAGAGGAGTTGAAACAGTATGGACTAGCATGGATGGATGGCGGTGAAAAGTACAGCAGAAGACAGAAGAAAGTGGAGACGTGCAGTTGAAGCCCTATGTTCCATTCGGAACCCAAGGGAAAAATAATAATATAATAATAATTTTCATTGGATACTAGAAACTAGTGTGATATGATGGGTTTGGATCTCAGGAGGGACATGAGTTCCTTGAAGGTGATTGCAGGAACGCCTCGTTGGTGAGCACGAAACCCAGGTCAGACAAGACTTCCTGTGGTCGATTGTCTCCAAATATCTAACATCGAAAATTATAATTATTATTATCAAAATGCTTCAGGAAAAGGATAAAAAGGCGATGGGGGAGGGCCAGGAGAAAATGAGTACAACTTACAGACATGATTGTTTTGAAAATAACGGTGATATTTTATCTAGAATATCAGCTAATGCACGATATGACATATCTTCAGATTGATTTGGACCACGATAAGCTGGATTATTTACATCTGGATGACGCCATGATTCACTTGGACTACATCCATAAAGAAAAATATTCTTCATACGTGAATGTCCATGGAAATCAATGAAAATCTGTCGGCGAATGGCATACAGACACGCACAAACGGAAGAAAAAACAGAACAAATATGTATATTGAATATTATAAGGCTATTAAATGGGTTCAATGAATTAAGAGAGTGGTTATTAGGATGGATAAATTAACAAGAAGAGTACATCATTCAACTACAAATTTATTTTCTAAAAGTATCTGAACTCGCTGATATATTTTTATTTTTTGTTGTTGAAGAATTACGTAATGACTAGTGATTGAACACGCAGTAGAAATTCGATTGGTAACAGAGTTCGAATTTGAAGTCTGATGACGGATTCATATCAGTTGAAGAATTCAGTGAAAGCCATGAAGTACTGGACAACTGCTTTATCTTAGTTCGGGACTCTTCATCAGCATGCACCCACGGCATCACCAGGGGTCGAACTCAGGACTTTTAGTGACCATTCCGTCACAGGTGTGGAATACAATAACCCCATGAATTCTAAACTCTGTCTGTTTGTGATTTTTAACACTATCGCTAGCCAGTGTTATACGCAAGTATTGATTCTCACGCGAGAACTGGTAGACAGCACTGGTCACGACCGCTTCATAAAGAGAAGGTTCCTTGGTTTGATCCCCAATGGGTTCACGGGTGTATTTAACGACAGAAGACAAGGGCCAAGCAACATATCGTTAACTGACGAAATCAACAGATATCTATAGATTTTTATGTACCTTATTATATGTTATTGTTAGCAGAGAAACAGCCTCTTCTGATCGGTTGTTTCCTCGCTTAAAGTTATTCTGTCATCTCTTTGTTGTGGCCGTTTCTTTGAAGGTCAGACCATATGTCTGCCAATCGTATCCGCCCACTAAAAGTCTGCTGTGATTGGTTGTTGAGTTAGTCTTTGTTCTTGTTTGTTTTCTCATGACCAAGATTTGGGACGTACAGATTGACGTAAATTGTTGTCTACCAATTTCGGCTAGCAGACAGCTCTCATCACATGCACACTGTGGAAGAGTCCTAAGTTGGGAAAAAAGACCATCTGGTATTGCCTGATTTTTTCAATAGTTCTCTAACTGATAACAATCCATGGGCAAACATGAAACCAGTCAAATCCCTACCAAATAACACTCGAGAATTCAAACTGACTGCGCATGGAGTACTATCTATACGGTTTCCATTATCAATTAAGAGATTCAATTAACCATCTCGCCTACAGATTGTTACAGAGTCCCACTAATACCTTACACAATAGTTTAAAGCTAAATACTGTTATTAGATGATTGGAGGCGATAGGTAGGAAGTCTTAACTCAACAGCAACTTTGCTCACAGTCGGGTGATAAATACGCATACATTACATAGAGAAATTCGATGAATACTACAGTTATTTAGATTAAGTCTTAATGGTGCTGAAACCCCAGATCTTATTAGCAGTACTATAACTACTTAAAGGAAGACCCCGTAAACTACCGCTCAGCTGGTCAGTTAGCGGTTTAGTAATCTAGAGGCCACTGATTTAAATCTGGATACTACAGTCTTAATAATCACTCAACCCACCACTGAAATTCCTGGATACTCCTACCGTCAGTCTTTCTGTTTTAAAGAAGGACAGTCATATAAAAACACATTCATAGATTGGTAATAAAGAGTGATTATATAAGTGTAGGTAACACTGATCACTAGTACTATTATTCTCTTGTTTTCATAGTGAAACATAGCGTTTCAGCAGTACCTAGCCATTTTACTCGGTTTTCTACAGTCTTCAAAGATTGCCCATAGTACTTCATTTCTTCCTCAGATGCTTCACTATATGTAACCCTTGAACTGACGCCTAACTTGTCGTTCCCTATTCAGCTTTCAGTCAAGAACCCAGTGAGTAATGCCACTACTAAATGATCTCCTCAGCATATATAAATTCAGTCTATCTCCATTTTCCCATGGCATATTTCTTCGACAATAGATTCTTGGTTAGTCTGGTTCACAAAATTCCTGGATGCTTATCCTTTCCGGTTGACCATCTGATCTTCAGTACAGAGCGAAGGTGGTTGTTGATGAAAGACCGCAGTAGCCTGTGATGCATCAACTCCTTTAACCGTGTAGAATCCCTGATTCAACATCTATGCCGAAAATCAGACAGATTTCAGAGTGACGAAAGTGTCTTGGCTTTAACATCCTAATCCGTGTCGCGTGTAGTTGAAACAATCCAGTCTAAGTGAAAATGGCGACTCCATTTATATTCTTCCAGATCATGGTGATTGGTGTTTCTTGTTTGTTTTTGTTGTTGTTGTTGTTGTAGTTGTTGGTAAGGTCACTTCATCCCCTCTATCTTGTCTACGTTCATTCGATATCCTGTCTTCTCTGCTTCTTTTTGAGTTTTTGCAGCACTGATCATATGGACCTGTTACGACGTGACACATTTGCTAAAGCACTCAACTATCCACCAATGGTTTCCGAGTTCAAATCTCTCTCTTACTTTAGTGTCGGTCTTCACTTCACAACAATCTACAGCTCACAGTCTACTGGCAATTATAAAGCCTGTCCTCCTGCAACAGAGTTCGAATAAGGCAATACAACATGAGAACGTATCTATTCAAAACATTTATACACTTACTTCATGAGAGATGATATGTCAATAAAAGAAAGTCATATGAAAAATCCAACAATATAATCATTTTTTTTCACTTACATATGGTGCACGTTCACAGATTGTGAGTAATCTTAATAACATTTTACTATGATAAATAGTTGGATGAATCAACGGTGATGGATTAATCCAACGACGATTTAAATCTTTACCAGCCATTGAACAACGATGACTTGATAGACAAAACAGAAAGAAAAGCAAAAGAGACACAAGAAACGCTTGTTTAAGTCAAACTATCACTTAAATAATTCGAAAAAAAGACAAAACTCAAAGTTACTTGCTTGGTAAAGTGGCATGTGTTACTGATAAGATTTATCAGTAGTATATAAAGGGACATTCATCAGCATAAAAATAACAAATAATAAGGAAATAGATTTAATGTCAGAGAAAGCAAATGATACAAGGTTGCGGAGATACATGGGAGATGTGAAAGGAACACAATGAAATACAATATGAAGGTCGAAAATAGCACAACACGGAGGAATTCGTATGGCACGTTTCGTCCACTTTGGGACTCATCGCCTGGATTTATTGCCACCCAAGTGATTGATGGCAGTGTGACTGAAAGGCCAAATCTCAGTATCCGTTTTCTTAGCACTGCAGAATGCTATGCACCAGGCTACCGGCCATGAGAACCATCCATTGTACGACGGGTATGATTTTGTTCAGCCGAGAAGTTCCATATCGGACGGAAGGCTCATCCTGCTTCCTACTGAGGGTTACTTCCAATCAATTTACTTCGAGTCCACTTATTAAGAGGTTGGTACAGATTTATCACAAAAACTAAGAGGAATCTTTGTTGAGTCAAAAGTTACATTGAAATTTTGCATAATCTTTCAAAAGTTATCATAAATATCAATACAGAATAAAATTCGTCTTTTATGAAGTACACTTCTAGGCGGAAATTTATAACAGTTTTCCCCGATTCCTCAATTTATTCAGTTCATAATACCTGGTCGTCTTGACAACATAAATAGCAATCAGGAAAGTAGGATAAATGGGAAGACAGTACATATTACTGATTAATGTATGTCATTAGAAACCATTTCTATCAAAAAGTACGTCCTCCAATTATGCGGAAGGTCCTGGTTTGATTTCTGGTCAACTCATGGCTACAATCCCGCCTAGTTTACCAGCCCGGAAAATATAGGGAAGGTTTAAGGTGGAGTTAGTAACCCTTTGCTGAGAGCTAGCTGCCGGCCGAAAATTGTAGATAGCTATTCACATCAATGTTACGTCCCGAATTGGGGTCATGAGAAGAAACAATAAAAAAGCTTAACCTTGAGGAACTAACTCAACAACCAATCGCAGCAGACTTAACGTGTGCAAATAAGATTTGCAAATATATGGCTTAACTTTCTAAGAAACGGTCGGTCACAAGCAGTACAGAATAACCTTCAGCAAGAAAACGACCAGTCAGAAGACGTTGCTTCCCTGCTAACAATAAAGCTAATAATAATGTACATAAAAATCTGTATCTCTTGATTTTCTCAATAAACGATCTGTTGCCTGGCCATTGTCTTCTGTCGTTACAACCCTATTTCATATAAACAGCACCACCGTTACAAAAACTTTAGAGATCAAGGCTTGAGGTCATATGTTCCACTGGAAAACGCAAAAGCATGAAAGAAGTACTCCTTGCTGATCAATTAATTGATCATAAGTTTGTTGACAATAATAAGTCAACTTCAGTGTGATATAATTAGTCAAGAAAATAAATTCAACAACTGAAGAGTAAAAATAATTATGAAAATTAAAGTAGATGGTTACATAATGTATGACTTATGTTGATTTGTGTGTAGAATTCATCAAGAACAGACATCACAGTTAGAAAATTATTAAAAAGCTAAAGAGTACTGGACAACTATTGCGTACTGGTTTGAGATTATTCAGAAGGGGGACACTAATAAGGGTTGGGGCCAGGATCTACGAAACCAACCGGATGACCAATCAGTCACTGGGTTGGAATTCAGTAGGCTAAAAAAATTCTAAATTCTATGGCTAATCATCAATGTCATTCGCTGCACTCTGTCGGGTGCTTCTTGATTTTTAAATGGTTTCCTAAATTAAGTTGGCTCATGACTAAACACCTTCATTGAAATTAACTAACATCCTCACAAAATTCAGAACTTGAGTATAGTTTATGCATTGAGGAATACCAAGGAGTAACTAGGACATAAGGGGAGAGAGTAACGATTAGATTTTGTATTCATGTGACGATTTCCAAAGTAAATAAACTCTCTGTACAAACTTCCTTTGAATATACAGGTTCGAAGTCTTTAGACAAATGTGAATGACTCTCGTTGTATGTAGTTGACGGACCCTTAAAAGAGAAATCAAGATTAGTAGGAATATTATGGATAACTGTAAATGCTTTGTTAGTATCAGCTCCAATGAGGAGTATTCACAAGGTGTGACAAAATATGCCAACAAAAAACATTCTTCGATTCTTGCAAGACCATGTATAAGAATCCAATAATGACTGACTAATGACTGGCTTTACATAGAACTTTGCACAGATGTGCAACAGTTTGAGTTGCCATTCGCCCTCCATGTACATGTACCAAACAAGGGAAGAGAAGGCAGTAGAAAGAGATTCATAAGAGAGATGATAAACAGAAGTGTGAGTGAGAAAAAAAGAATGGTAATATGGAAGAACAATATAATTTTATTGGATATTATAAGTCACAAAGAATGAATGCATCTGCGCCATCACTGAGAAAGATTCTGAGCCATATCTGTTGATATGGCTCATTGCTTCTCGGAATCTCGAGTATATCAACCGACGGTCCACACCTCCCTACTTGGTTGGCTGGCTGGCTGGCTTAAACTAACTGTTATGGATTTCACTGACTGATGAAGTCATCTTTTGGTTTCAACACTACTCTAACTAGCTATTTTCCAACCTGATCGATCCTATGTCAGCAGCTAACATTTTCTGTTGTCGAGGAAGGTAACTGATGCCTAAAGTAGGGGTGCACGTATAACACATGTCCTAACCCTCTCTCTTAATCAATATAACTTCACAACCTCGTCAACTAATTTCCCTCTCACCTACCTACCACTCGACCAATGCCAAACCTCAATATTGTTCACCCTATCATACTACCTAACACCTGAGACAGAAGTCAGACACCTATGATTAAAGACAGCTAGTTAGCCTAGCTTTTCGTGTCCTACACTTTCAATGACGGTGTTTCTCTCAAAGTCATAAAGGAGGAGGAGGAGTGAGCGAACTGCTGAGCAATATACACGTCTTTTGTTCGATAGCAAGCCGGAGATCTGGTCTACGCGAGTTATGGTGTAAGTTGGCATATGCCAAATGAAGCTTCTGTATCTGCGCTGAGTTTTCGCCAGAGATGCAATAACAAACATGTCTAATTAGGTACACTTAATATTGAAAGGTAATACTAACTAACAAAACACCACAAGTATGAGCAAAATTTTGTATTCACCATTAAGAGGCTTTATTGAACCGAAATGTTCAGTCGTAGCTGACGTGTCAGCTCCTACCGCAGACGCCTCGCAACATATTAATCCTCGAACATCATCGAAGCAGCCGTGGACTAAGAGACGATATGTCAACAGGAACTGAATATTTCAGTTTAGTATAATCAGTCAACGCAAGAAATAAAATTAACTAAAACAGATAACGACTGATACCCATCACACAAGATCTGGAACAAGTAACCTACTAGGTAGAGGTTTGATATTTGTAAAGATTGATACTGTGTTTCAGTGTCAATGAGAACATCATCACTCACTGCGTATTACATGTAAGTTCAGCCGACGAGTTTCAAATAGGACGAAATGCGCATTCTCCATTCAACTATTAAACACCATCCACCAAATAATAAAACTACTAGATTGACAAAAATATGCCTTATATGTTTGAAAAGAGTTACTTTGGAATACCTAGTTGAAAGGTAAATATATCTCGTCTCTCGATTTTGTAGTAAATGAGTCTGGCACACACTAAGGAGACATTTAAATAAAACCACACTCCAGGCGACTGAGTGGAAGCTCAATGACCAGCCACCAGTTGGTGGCGATTCCCATTGTAAAGACACAATGGATAATAAATAACAATATTTTTTTGCAAATTAATTTATAAATTAATTATAAAAATGAAGGTTCTCAATCTTCTGCTACTTACTAGCGTTTTGAGTAGTTGATAAAAAGAAATAATAAAAAAAAGAAAACTTACTTTCCATTGATAACACCATCAGGATTTAACATTGGTATTATTTTAAAAATGAACATTTTACGTAATTCAATCATTTGCAAATTATCATTTGATAAAAGATGTTCAATCAGGCCCTTCATTACCCAACTAGAATTTGATTCACCAGAGTGTACACGACATGTTAGAAATATGTAAGGACGTTGATTGTTATTTGCCGAATTATCTAGGCAGAAAATATAAATGAAATTAACATAAGCAAAATAATTATGAACAACATTAATGTTGCTTATATAAAATCGAATCAGTATTAATAACAGTATCAGTGGATTACACTCCGCTGGCCTCAATATAACAATACACACTGAATGAATATCAGAAAAAATAGGAGAAATAATTAATACAAATTCATGAATTCATAGTCTCCACTGAAGACCAACCAGGGCAGTGGTAGTGACTGGCTGGACTTGCTTCTTCTGCACACACAGAGCACCGATTGTTTAAGGTAAAAATCGCGATAGTCTCTGCTGTTTGGAGTATGTGGTTCCTGGATGTTTCTGTCAATTTATTTGTTACCCGACAGATGATGGAGGAGAATTCTTAAATGCTGGCTTTGTGACCGGTTTCCACCAGGTGGTCTAATATCGAACTGTTGATATTCTTTACTACACCTTTACTTAGCCATACTGACATTTGCAGATGTGTACCTATCATACAAATTAAAACATTTTAGTTGATTAAACAGAGATCATAGTGGATAGGCATTTCTTAGGCTCGATCCTTCATCAGATCGTTCATATACAACAACCCTAAAATCCTCCAAAATAGAATGAAATAAATATCCAGTATTGGCAGTTGCTAGATCGTCAACAGACTGGACTCATAACCCGAATATTCTGAGTTTGATCCCTGGAAAGGTTGTTGGTGCACCCCTTACTGAATAGCCTAAGACTCAAATGAAACAGTATTCTAGTGGCATTAATGTTATGTCTGGTCTACGAATTCAAGCTGAAGGTTCACTGATTGACTCCGCAAATTGTTGAGATCTTTGTAAGAAGTGAGAATATTTTTATTCTAATCACTTCTTGTCGAAGCAAAATCATCACCAAGCCATTCCGGATATGTACTACAAACATTCGGGCGGGTTCATTATTTAGTCAGCTTGAATTGATTGTTGTTTCAGGGGGTGAAAACGATTTCTCAAGACTTGATTCGTTTTTCAATTTTACCCACGAATTTAATTCAGTTAGAGAATCATTGAAAACCAGCGGGGTGTACTGGACAAACAACTCTTTCGTCCCAATAGATTGGGACTCCTCAACGGTACGCACTCACCACCAGGATTCATACCCCGCGACCTTCCAGTTACAGGGCAAGCTCTGAGACCATTCAGCTACTGAGAGCCAAATCAATGGCTAGCCAGTCACTAGCGATGTTAGAATTCATAGGCTGGCCATTGATTTGGATCTCAGTAGCTGAATAGTCTCACAGCTTGCCTTGCAACTGGAAGGTCTTGAGTTTGAAGCCCTGCAGTGGATACGTACACTACCAATTAGTCTCAAACTAGATTGAAGAAACGGTTGGTTGCCCAGTACTCACTCTATGCTAGTTTCCAATGGTTCTCTCACTGATAACAATCAGTGATCAGACGTCAAAATGATTCTCATATTTATACTACTTAAATGAAAACAGAGAGACAGACCTACAGACAAACAGACAGACAGACAGATATTTACCTGCAGAATTTATATTTTGTGTAATTGTAATTAACGGTACTGGATTAGATAAAATAGTTGAAGTTAACTGTTGTATCTGAAAATAAATATCCCTTGAATTGTTCAATATTTGATTTTGCCATTTGTTTAAATCAATTAATAGACGTGTATATGTATATGGATAATGATAGGCTAGATAGCAGACATCACCAGCATATGGAAAACGTATAACAAATGAAGCTGTGTAATACGTTCCACCATCCACATTACCTTGAAAAAGAAAAAAAGTAAAGAGCAAAAACAAAAGGATCGAAGCATGCTGTGTTATTACAAGTTGGTAATAAGATGAAGAAATGATGTAATCAAGGAGGAAGACCTAACTAATTCCAACCTGTTGGTGAATTATCAGTTATTTAAACCCATCAAGTGATAGTAAAACAAACAATTTTTCGGGATATAAATTGGGTGTATGTTATAACCCTGTCGGTAATTTGTTATGTCTACGCCTGTTAATTACTATAACGGTAATGAACTTCAGTGGTACGTTAGTTAATACGCTTATTTGTCCGTTGTACCTTCCGATTCACTGAGTCACGCAAATATCAAAAGACAAACGCTGACTGGCGTGTGACTGTAAGATATTGTATTATACTGTACTATATTACATCGTTTAAGAAACAACACATGATATTGATACATTTTACTTAACCATAATAAAGTCGGCTCATGACCATGGAAATGGATTGATCTTATTCGATGGAAATGTCTATCCTGATTGGTTGGTGATCTGACAAGGATCAAGGTGAGACAAAAGACGGTGAATTGCTCACATACTAAATCAAAATATGCATGAGAAATTATACATTTAGAAAATCAAAACAGGTGATTCAGAGAAGAGACTCTTTTCAACGAATTTATCATCAAGCTGTACAATCGTACATATATATATATGTGGTTTTTTTTTAAGAATTTATATCCGGTGAGGGAATTGAATCGTAGGTGTGAATGCATCGATGTGAACTTATCAAGGAGGATCGATGAAACTCTGAAGAGATCAATGTATGGAAAGCTGTCATGGAATGGTCAGCTGACGAATTTCTACAGCTGTGTACCCATTGGTCGAAAACGAAGCCTGGTCCGGTCGCTTGCCACTAGCATTCGGCGCATATGTAGCCCTGATACTGTGGAAGATGAGTTATATCTTTTGAGGAAAATCCTAATAGAAAATGGATTTCCACCACGTTTTATAGATAAGAATATATATTCAAATCCTATAAAACGTGAATTATCATCCATACCCAAGAAAATACTTTACGTGAACTTGGAATTCAAAGGGGACTTAGCTTCCGATATCATGAAACGAAGGATATCACAGTCCCTGAAAAGAACATTCCCTGCTGCATCTCTGAGAATAACCTTTACTAGTCGACCATTACTGTTCAATAACCTGAAGGACAAGATCCCGTTGTTGACCAACTCTATGTGTGTTTATCAATTCACCTGCTCGTGTGGAGCTAACTAGGTATATCAGTCGTTCGACTCGAGTTTTGTCCAAAAGGGTGCAAGAACACTATCCTGCATGGTTGTAAAGAGGTGGAAGTTGAGCAATAAGAAGCGCCATCATTGAAAATCTGGTCGATAATGATCACTCTATCTCTATAGCCTTCGCCTTTAAAGTCATCTACAAGGCAAAGAGTAATTTACCTAAATCACTACGAACCCGACTCATCTGTATTGCTAAATCTTTGGCTATGGAAACAGAAAAGTCAGATCTCTGTGCACAGAAAAAGTTCGTTCAACCCCTCCAACTTTCATGGTCTTAATCCCTCGTCTATGCTGAAGTATGGTAATCCCCAATGATATTTTGGCTCTACCATTTTTTTCATCTTGTCTATTCAATTTGTATCCTCTTCCTTTATTAAATCAATTGTTACTATTACTATTCTCACCTTGAACTGTCCTCGGTATTATTTCACTTGTTCCACTTGTCATTCTAAATCAGTTATTTTTTTCACAACGCTAAACTCTATGCTATCAAATTTCACACAGTATTACGTAACGCTTTTATTTTATTCGATTTGTACACTAATCCTATAATTGCACAACTACTTTAAGTTCTATCCATCCTATGAAATATTCTATATATGACATTAATTTGCTTTGCCACTTGACATTTAACTACGATTATAATCACAAACATTTTAGTTTTAATTGCATTTCATGTGGTTATTATTATTATTATTTTACGCATTCACACCTATGATTCAATTCCCTCACCGGATAAAACTTCTTAAAAAATGATATATTCACACAGTAGCTCCATCACAAAATAAATCACACTATTCGTGGGATTGGATGATAAACTATTTTATGCTGGGTCCTATCAGTGTATTAACCTTTATAAAGGATGAATGAATACGGTACAACTATTTTTGAGCTGCTAATTGATTTAAATGAGAAGCTTTTCTCGTCTCAATTCTAGTACAGGTTTTTAGTATAAAATGGACTCTATGAATGATGATATAATTGTATCTTCCTACTGATAACCATTGTCTTGACTGGCTGTTAGTTTACGTCTCTATTGACAACATCTTTATCGATTGACTTAAAATTTGAACTTTTTTGTCATTTAGTATTTAATTGGAGTATGGTGACTAGCAGTGGGATCCAGGATAAAGTGCATTTCGTCCTATTTGGGACTCATCCTCCAGCTGGATGTACCTGCATTCCCCAGTGAGTGGTGTTCCCACCGAGGCTCGAACCCAGTACGCCAAAGTGTTATCCACTAAGACCACTTGAGCCACGAGAGACACCTCTTGTGCAACGGGTCATATTAATTTTATTAAATTTGAGATTTTCCCGTCGGTTGATTGGACCGAAGTGCCATTTGATGATTTACTTTTCATTAGCTGGTAATTTTGGACTATAGTAATGTGTGTTTGTTAGTCGCTAGTTGATTCACTTGAGTACCAGGCTACTAGAAATTACTTGGCATCACTGTCTGGAGTTTCCTCTATTAAAAAGGACTACATTTTCCCAATCATAAAATTGGTTTCTGCATTTCGCTACACGCCTTGATATGAAACAGGAATACATATCATGTCTTTTCACAGCCAATTTGTGTTCTTGCATTCGGACTTGAAGAAGATACCCACTTTGTTAACCGATGTAATGCTTATTGCAGTTCACACAGTTTATTTCATAAACAGTATTAATTTAATCTTCTTTTTCTGTCGGATCTTTTCGTCTGAACAATATCAATTAAAATGATTCTGCTGGCTGGCTTGTGTGCTATATCTATTTCCAATGGTCTTAATATTCTAGCTGTTATTTCAGAGATGTTTTGTATACGGTGTGGAACGAATTTTCCTGTAGTCTTTGATGACGATTTCTTGTTGTTGGTGCTTGACTCGAGTTTAAACATCTTTTGGATGAAACTGTGAGGGGGATATCCATTCTTTCTGAAGACGGTTAGTAGGTGTTTTTCCTCCACTCTCTTCAACACTGGATTAGTGCTACATTGTGTGTTTGAACTCTCTTTTAAACAATGTCTGCACACAGTTTATTTCGTGAGTAATTGGCTTATTACTATCATAGTTGAGTATTTGGTCTGTGTGTGTTGACTTTCTATATACTTGTGTGTTTCTAAATTTCCTGTGTTGGTTCTCCCCTGATTAAGACATCTAAAAATGGGATTTTGTTACCTAATTCTTCTTCTCTCGTGGTGAACTTGATGTCTTCAAATATGTTGTTTATTAATTTATGGGTATATTCCAAATCATTTCTTCTAACAATTAAAAATGTACCATCAAAATAACGTACCCCATATTTTCGGTTTAATTATTATTTTTTTTATTTGATTGCAGCTTGATTCCACACAGTACTTTTTTTTTATTAGAAGTAAGGGATTTTCAGCATGTGATATCGGTAGCCCAAATTTTGCAGGCGGACCATTGATATCGGGAGGAGATCGAACCCTGGACCATGTTCATGGTCGGCGAGAGTCCTAACCACTGTGCTATCGACTTCAGCCATTAATCTTTATATGGTCCATCCCATTGGTGTTTCTTTCATCTATTCGTATATTTGATAATTGAACCGGAAGTATGTTGTAAAACATAATTCTATGAGTTCCAATCAAGTTGAATATTGATTGCATTTTTTGAGTTTCCATTGCTGTGGAATAGTTTCTTTTGCTACTTTTGAATCAATTGAAGTAGATAATGATGTGACATCAAAGGACGCCATTATTTCTCTGTAATCCATTTGAATGTTTTTAATTTTCACTAAAAATTGAACTGGCGAAGTGATAGGATGGTCGCGTGAAGATGTTGTCTAGAAGCGCGACGTTGAAAGCTTGGCAATTAAATCAACCAGCTCCTCAAATAACCTACCCGAGTCAAAATCAACCACCTGAGCTATAAATCTCCATTATGGTACAACTGTGTTTGCATTCAAAACCTTTCTAGTTGATAGAAATGTACCTATATTAATATATAAATATATATATATACATATACAATTCGCCACACATAATTTCTCTTCTCTTGGAGAACAGATTACAATAAGACTCTAAGGTAGTATGCACACACATTTTCTATGCTCCCACTGTGAAAATCGTGGACACTGAAGAGTCTATGGTATCTTGAAAGCTTGGTGAACTGCTTTGAGAGCTGAATCCCTCCAGAAGCATCACTAATGAGCCCTGCCTTAAAATGACCGACATACAGTCATACAGCATTTAGATCACTTTGATATTGCTAACAAGCTTTAGTGGCAAATGCAGGTGGCTTCCATACCCTACTACTCACATAAACTAATAAGTAGTGCATAACATCAATCATTTGTGCATTGTCTTCTAGTATGCTGCTTATAGCGCCATTTAGATCACATTTTGGGATTTGAATAATTAATTCCAGTTTACAAAATAAACCATGGTGAAATTTCACCTCAAACTGTGTAACTTACAGATCACGAACTAATTTGCGACTTGTAATGCATTTCAGGTTCTCTTATTCAGCTAACCAGCTCTCAGGTGGCTTCAAATTATTCGACACTCTAAACTGATGTTTCATGTAGGCGCAATGATGAGGAGATCAGCCCTAAATCGAGTGAAACAGCCGGGAGTCTGGTGTTTTGATCACTTCAATCTGCCTGCCGAGCACTATTGATTGATATGAGTGGTATCCAACCACTTATATCGAGCAGTCAGTAGTATATTTCACCAAATTTATTTTAACATCGAAATAGCTTAGTTTTTACGAGATGATCACGGATTGATATCAGTGATAGAACCATTGAAAACCACTACTAGAGTACTGGACAGTCAGCCATTTCATCCTAGTTTGAGAATCATCGGCTGTACGCACCCACTGCCAGGGGTCGAACCCAGGACCTTCCAGTTAAAAGGTACGTTACACGACTGAGTTTCCTGGAGTTCTAGTTAAAAGTTGTGACCAGTGAGATGCAACCAGTGAAGTTTGAGGATGGATGTCCCACTGACAATATTGGTTAAAGTCGCGCTAAACCACGAATTGGTAGAAGTTAGAATTCATGGGCTAGCCATTGAAGAGTCTGGTCTCAGTGGCTGAATGATTATACAAGCTTGCCTTATAACGGGAAGGTCTTAGGTTTGAACTCCAGTGAGTGGGAACTGCCAATGATTCCCAAACTAGCGGGATTAAACAGCTGTCCAGTACTCCTTGATTTTCAATGGTTCTCTAACTGACATTAATCCGTGATCGACTTTTAAAAACAAAACTAATCCTTACAAACCAACTATAGAAATTCAAAATAGCTATTTTACTTGGTGAAAAAACAACAACTGGAGAACGAAAAGTCTTCTCTTTTTAAAATTTTGATACTAATGATGGTATAGTGAAGTCAGTTGACTTACCTTTACGTGCAAATTGACGAGTAAAATGATTTCTATAATAATTAATATGGCTGCCAACACGTCTCCAGTATGGACGAGATTCAAGAGCTTCACGAACTGAGAATAAAAGAGGTTGCATGCCTAAGGAAGTCAAAAAGAAATTGGATGAAAATGAGAACATAAAATGGCACAGGAGTTATCCAAATATTTAGCATTACTAATATGGATCGTTAGAGAAAGGTGAAATTCTAAATCCTGTGTAATAAAACAGAAATTAGATGAAATTGAATTAGAAAAAGATGAAAAAAAAATGCTTAGCTTTGATATGAACAGTTTATAGTAGTAATATCCCGATTAATACAGCCCTGGAAGCAGTTAGGCACAAACTAAACATTGATCCTGAACTCAAAAGTAGGACTAAGTAAGCTCTCACTCGGTTGATAAAATAATATTAGGTGTTCAGTTATGTCTAACCACCTCCACTGTATTCAAATTTCAAAATAAAATATACAGACAAAAAGACAAATGGGATGGTAATGGGACCACCAATACCCCAAATAGTGGCAGATATATTTATGGAGACAGGATTTCATCATGAGCTGACATCAGTTAGAGAACCATTGGAGAAAACCTGGGAGTACTGGACAGCCAGCTGTTTTGTCCTAGTTTGGGAATCTTCATCAGTACGTAAATACCAACAGGGGTCGAACCCAGGACCTTCTGGTTGCGAGGCTAGCGAGCTCGTATACCATTAGGCCACTGGGACCTGATCCAATGGCCAGCCCATGTATTCTAACTTCTGCCAATTCACGATGTAGCGCGACCGCTAGCCATTGTCTTCGGCGAGTATTTGTCCTAACACCCGACCTGCTGCACCCTACTAGTGACGTCTTCACACTGAAACCCCAGGTAGCTACCTACCTGAATAGGGCCAGTCGCCAGTGAGCATCTTATTGGTATTCAAGTATTGGTTTCTAGGGATGAAATCCTGTAATCAAACAACCAAATCCCTACGAATCAATGCTTGAATATTTATGGATAGTTGGGAATATAAAGCTCTTAAAACGTTTAATCTGGCTTCTAGGTTATGTTGGAGATATGTGGATAACACATTCCATCACTGTGTTGGTATCTGACCGTATCCCTTCTCATTTTTTCACACATATCAACTCAGTAAGTAGTAGACGGAAGCCAATTCACTTCTGAGTTAGAAAAACAACAAGGTAATTTAGTCATTCTAGACTGTAGAATAAAACGAAAAACAAGATGGTGGGTTAAATGCTACTAGCATTTTTATAGGAAACCGACACACACACACACACACTCTAATGAAGATTAGCCATAAAAATGTTGAAAATAACAAAGAAAGTAATATAGAATTCAAAGCCTCTGTAGTACTGCCGTATAAAGAAGGAACATCAGAGGTTACAAGGCTAGCGAGCTCGTATACTATTAGGCCACTGGGACCTGATCCAATGGCCAGCCCATGAATTCTAACTTGTGCCAATTCACGCTTGTCGCTAGCGGTCGAGCTATATCGTAAATTGGCACAAGTTAGAATTCATGGGCTGGCCATTGGATCAGGTCCCAGTGGCCTAATAGTATACGAGCTCGCTAGCCTTGTAACCAGAAGGTCCTGGGTTTGAATCCCAGTGGGTGCGTACTGATGAAGATTCTTAAACTAGGATGAAACAGCTGTCCAGTCCTCCCAGGTTTTCCAATGGTTCTCTAACTAATGTCAGCTCATGATGAAATCCTGTAACCAATCAAAATCCTACAAATCAACACTTGAAAGAGGTTAATTTCTTCACGTATCCAGGAAGCCAGCATCGTTTCAACCACAGACACATTTGGAACGGATGAAGATATCAAAGCAGGCCAGAATCCGAAAGGCAAAAAATGCGCCTTCATCAACCAGAAATTGGTTTGGAATTCTTCTACACTCTCACTTAGCCAGCACAAAGAACAAGATTTAGATTTTCAACAAAAATGTGAAGTCAGTCAGTCAGTCATTTCTTCTATATGGATCAGAAACTCAGCCTGAGCATCATGGAAAGCATTTCCAACAGCCAGCTGCAGACTTTTATCAATAGCAGCCTCCTCTGGCTTCATAGTGAAGATCGAATGGCCAGCCGATCAGAAAGAATTAGCTACAAGAACTTATGGGAACAAACTAACCGAGAACTAATAGATAAAAAGGATATATAGGAGAAAATGGAGATGAATTGGGCATATACTGAGGACGCCGTCATAAGACATGGCGCGCAATTCAGATCATTTCTCGAATGGAATCTCAATGAGAAGAGACGAGTGGATCATCAATGCGAGTGTGACATTGAGGACAATGGTTCAGGGAGGCGGAGATGAGAGATTATGGGGAATCGTGGAGCCGGTCAGCTGAAGAGGACATCAGAAAACAGAGGAAAGTAGACCCCCTAAATATTTCAAATAATTTAACCAGTTGAACAACTCTCTCTCTCAGTCAAGAATTTACAAATTGATTGTTCTACAAATTGACTTACCCGAGTTGAATTGACTATCCACCTTTTCACAGTTGACAATATTAAAACGATATGAAACATTCGCTTCCATATTGGATACACGAAAATAGAACCATTGTAAATTTGATATAGTATTAACATCAGGATTGAGGATTAAATCGTATTCATATTGTCGAACCTTAAAGTATATTGTTAAATAAATAAATAAATAGAAGATTGAGCGAAGAGATATTTACTTTTCAATTAGATCCTCATCTCTGGCTCTACTCTAATATATAGCATTTTTATTACAATACACAACATTTACCAATCAAGTGGCGATATGTTTGTTAACAATAATTAGTCGGTGTCAAAATGCCAATGGGGTGATAATTAACGAAGAAAAATTAATATATAATTAAAAGGTGGAAATGGTTACAACACGTGGATTGCATAATGCATAATTTTGGAAAAATGAAGAGCAATTAAGGAATAAGCGTGTGCACAGGTTGATTACGTAACAGATTGTTAAAGAAAATAAAACAATTTGGACAATGATAATTTGTAACTAAAGTTTAAGTGGTCATAAGAATAAAATAATTTTTACAAGGACAACACGTAATTAAAGATGAAGTAGTCAGAAAAATAAAATAATTCGGACAATTATAGTTTTTAAAAAGAAAAATTATTCTAGGGGGAGGGTGATGGAGTAGTCCGGTTTATACAGTCATGTAACGATGGCCAAGGTAAGGAAAGTGGCTGTACAAATTTCTTCTGAACACACAAGTTTGGCTTCTTCAGGTGGATTCCTATTGCTTCAGCTGTATGTAGAAGACGAACTCGTAAAGCAAAATTAAGATTAGTAGGAATGCGATAAATAATTTTAAATGCAGTATTAACATCAACCTTATGCTCGCTATCTACAAGGTGGGCTAAAATAGAGCTACGAATAGATTTTGTTTGTCCCTTGCTTAACCATGCCGGATGATGTTCGGAAAAAATAAGTAAAAGACAAAATGAAAAAAAGCCCACTTAAGACAAGCAGTTTGAATTTCAAATTAAGTGAGAAACAGTTAAATCTTTTGTACAGTTCACTTGAAGACAAATTACAATTCATTCTTTGCTTTATGAGTAGAAATTGAGGCCTTGTTAACACCTCTGGATTGCAAGCATTTCTGTGCTACCATTTTTAGCTTGCTCCACCCACAGTTGCTTACTTCCTCTTCACATGACCTTCTGCATGTTACCATTAGACTCCCAACTGGCTGGTTGCTGGTCGGATCCCACCTAAGTACGTCGCATATGTCGCCACCTAACAGTCTCCTCAGATTATGTCCAATCCACCTGCATCTTATTCTGCATATATTCACTGAGCAATACGCTATTAGCTGGTTCGCTGATTGCCAGATTTTTTTGTTGCTTAGACTTTCTGATCGACTATCTGAAGCTTCAAAAAAGCAAGGGAAGACGAGTGTCGATGAAGGTCTGCAGCCATTCAAAAATGCTTCTGATGGTGTAAACCGCCAAGGTCTCAAAGCACATAATACTATTATTTTCTCTTGTGTTTTATGTGACGCAGACCTACTGACTGATTTCAAGCTAATGAAAGATGGTTTTGCTTTCCCAACCTTTGCTTTGACAAAATCATAATTGCATGGAGGATTTAATCATGAGCTGACATTAGTTAGAGAACCACTGGAAAACCTGGGAGTACTGGACAGCTGTTTCGTCCTAGTCTGGGACTCTTCAGCAGTACGCACCCACCGGGATTCGAACCCAGGACCTTCTGGGTAAATCATAATTTCTATTTTAGATTGTTTCAATGTAAGAAACCTCCTAATGCATTTTGAAGCTTGGGATTTTTCATAATACGCACATTCAGAAGGATATTTGCGCTATTCAATTCGATTATTATTATTATATATTTTTATTAACCCATTGGGTCGCGAATAGAACATAGCGCTTCAACATCACATCTCCGAATTCTTCTATTCTCTCTTTTCCGCTTCAGCTGGCTGGCTCAACGATTGCCCATAGTCTCTCATTTCCTCCAACTCGCACGATCTCTTCACCATGGCACACTCAAATCAACTGATGACGAGCCACTTGTCTCTTCTCATTGAGATTTCACTAGAGCAATGGCCTGCACTAAGCGGGATGTCATTCAACGATATCGTCAGCTTATGACCGATACATTTCCATTTTCTTCTGTATATTATTTGTTGGGCAATCGGCTCTTAGTTGGTTTGTTCTCAGCAACAGTTTTTGTTGCTAATTTTCTCTAGTCGGCTAGGCTATTTGATCTTCAGTATGGAGCCAGTGAAGTGGACAGTTGTTGACAGAAGTCATAACCTTGGCTTATTATTATTATTGCTGTGAATGTCTGATGCTTTAGATCGACAAAACTTTGATACAATTATGACTATTTTAAACGTCAATTTAGATGTCATCATCGGTATACTTCTTTGTAAAGCAAAGAAAACTACTGTCAATGTTGGTTCAATATTGAATAGCTTGTTTATTATAACTGGTTTTCATTGGCGCGTGATAAGAAGACTTTCATTGCCTGCCTAATCATGTAATGGTTGACCGAAGATTGCAGAAATATGATCAGAAGTTGTTGTTGTGCATTATATATTAACCTTTATTTTGCACACTTTGACACTGATTAACCATTGTAAATCTTTACAGTTTTCACCTGAAGAATAAACAGTCATGTTACCCCCACTGTTTTCTGTTATTCTACGTCGGTTAAAAGGTGTAAATTATTCTGCGTATTAGGCTTAGTCTACTGAAAACAGCGATAAGTATAGGATCTCTACGAGTTGGATATTTGACAATTATCCCATATGTCTTAATAAATAACGAACAGTCCAGTGATGAAATCCTTTCCCGGGATTTCATTCCAGGAGGTGGATGAGAAGAATTACGAATATTCCCATCTTTCTGTGTATAACTTCAGCTGTAAAGTTATTATTATTATAATTGTTCCCTTGGGTTCCTAGTGGAACATAGGGCTTAAACTCCACGTCTCCCCTTGCTTCTGCTGTACTTTTCACCTGCATCTATGTTAGTCCATACTGTTTCAACTCCTCTCCACACGATCTCCTCTATGTCACTCACCCTTGGACGTCCCAGTCGCTACTTCCCTTTCTGCCTGGTTCCACTCGAGAAATGGCCTGACACGCGCGCGATGTCACCCAGCGGCCTCCTCAGCGAGTAGTGTCCAATCCATCTCCACTTTCTCCTGCATATTTGTTGGTTGGCGATTGGTTATTGTTTTGTTTGTTCCATAGTTCCTTGTTGGTGATTGTTTCCGGCCCGGCCATCTGATCTTCAGCATAGAGTGAAGACAATTGTTAATAAAGGTCTGCAACAGGCTGTTGGAAATATTCTTTGTGACCCGCCCGCCAAGTTTCTGATCCGTATAGAAGAACTGACTGACTTGACGTTGTTCGTATTGAAAATCCGACTGAATTTTGTTGTTGATGCTGAGTGACGAAGATTTCCAGATTGATTTCAGGTTGATGAATGTGTTTCTCGCCCCCCTTCCCGATTCTCGCTCGATTTGACATTCTCGTCCGCCCCGACTGCCTGTAGTTGAGACAATGCTCCTTAGATAAGTGAATGAAGTAACCTCTTTCAAATCCCTCCCGCTGGTGGTGATTGACCCTGGATGTTGCTGTTGTTGTTGTTGTTGGTGGTTGGTTATTTTCATAACCTCCGTCTTGTCTATGTTCACCTAGAATCCTGTCTTCGCCGGCTGCTTCTCCGATCAGTTTGTCGGTTTTCGCTTGTAAGTCTTCGATTTTGTGTGATATCAAACATAAATCATCCACGCGCGAAATCCAGGTCTTCTAGGTTCTTCACTTCCGTCTGTCCAGGATATCCCTGTCTTCTCGTTTCCCGCTGTCTGACGCATACTCCAGTCCACCACAATTAGGAATATCATTGGTGATAATAATCACCCTTGTCTGACTCCTATGTTTACTCCAAACGCCTCGCTAAACTTTGCGTTGTGGATCACTTGACATGTGCCGCCGTTGTCATACAGCTGTTGAATAAGGTTGAATAAGCTGTAAAGTTAAGTGAGTTATAATAATCGAAAAGAGTCTCTTCGCTGAGCTCTCTGTTCTTATTTCAATGTTTTGATGAGTACTTTTCGCATATCACAGGAATATTGAAGTTTAACCATTTTTATGAAGACTACATGTCTAGTGAAACAAAAACTAGGGCTAAAAGGTAAGAAACAGATTGTCAGTATATACCCCATCAATCCGTATTATTAGTATGATTACCGTAAGGTTCAAGCGGAACACGAGGCTTCATCAGCACATTTCCATTTCATTCTGTCCTCCGTGATCATCTTTACTTGATTATACGAGTCCTCAGAGGCTCTCATCTTCTCCTCATACGGTCTCTTTTATATCGCCCTTGAGGATCCCCAACTCTTCGTTTCTGTTTCCCATTCAAGTTCCGCTTGAGGGTATGCCTGGTGTGCAATGTCACTCGGTAGTATTCTAAGTGTGCGTAGAGTCTATCCCCACTTTCCCTTGGCATATTTAATGGACAATCGCATATTCACTGCCTCGTTGCCCGCCAGAGTTCCTTATTGTTTATTCTTTTGCGGTTGGCCATCTGATCTTCAGTATGGAGCAAAAGGCGACTGTTGATAAAAGTCTGCAACAGGCTGTTTGAAATGCCCATCATATTTAATCAGAGACATGCAAATTTATATCAGCCAACAGAGTTAAATTTAAAAGGTGAATATCAAAATAGCAATGGTAACTTGCAGGCTCTAAAAACAAGTCCCTCAAAGAGCTTGATTTAACAAAAAAGATCTACGCTGTCGTATTTCTCAGTGGTCAAAAGAAATGACAGTGGATGTCAGCTTCTTTCAGTCATGAAAACAAAAAAAAAAAAAAACAATACTATAGTCATACAGAGGAAATGACATCCTAAAACATCTACAGTTTCCCATATCTCAAACCAGAAGCCTAGTCCATCCGGAATCCTATCATCTAACGGTTTCTTCTCCTGCGGTATGCATGACGTCATCTTCCGCGATAGCATGAAACTGAAAAAAAGAAACTAACAATTTCAAATAATGTATATTCAACCCCTAAAAATGAGTCTCACTTGAATAGCTTTCCGCAGATTACCACATTCAAAACGCGATTCAAAATTCAAATGTCCTTTCTCCAATTCAAGACGATTAATGCTAAGAGAATATAAAGGATACAAAAAGGCAAATATGATCAATTCTTTGAAGATATTGTTTATACTGATGATATTACCTTCAACAGATTAAAAGAGGAATTATTAAAGAGCGCGGTTGATAGCAGAGGAGAAAATTTGCTTTTCGACGAAGTTATCAACTACGCCATACATTCACGTGTTTATGGTAAGTGGGTGAGAGAGACTTTCAAAACTATTTCCAGAGTCAAAGGTCAGATTATTAAAATTACAAAGTGTAATTAACAGGAAGATCGGATAAAAAAAAGCAATAGGATAATCAACATTGATCGGTCTGACTTTTTTATGATGGCTGTAGTAGGGACACCGGTTGAACGTATTTCTTATGAAAACACAGTGTAGGCTTGAGCATTTGGATCACCAGCAGTGCCTCAGCTATTCCTAGATGCCTTGATTTCACTCCCTTTGAGGGTTTAATCGACTCTTGTATATGACTTTGAAGGATTTTTTTATCAAGTGGAGCTGAATGTTCTGAATTCACTAGATGTTCTGTCACCGAAATGTATACACCCTTGAGTTCTACCCTTGCTAACCATGCTGGATAGTGTTCCCGAGTGCGTTTTAAAAGCGGACGAATGGTACGGACAACGTACTGGGCTCCACACGAGCAATTGAACTGGTATATGCATTTTAAAGTGGTCAAAAGTGTGCGACAGCTTTTCCTTCAAGTGCTGGATGAATAGTTTCTTGCAGGAAAATGTCACTCGTAGGCTGGCGCAAAGTATACTTTACTGAGAGACTTCAGAAGCCATCTACGGAGACGTTCTGCTTCGGTGTCACTTTTAAATTCGAAAGTGTTCGACGGTTCTATTCCCGGTCACAGACACACCCCTAACTACCTTGTATTCGTGTCCTCTCGGAAGTGTGTGGACGGTCGCTACTTCCCGGCTACCCACACCGCCGAAGTTGATTGATTCTCTAGGTACCTGAAGGAGAAAAACGGTTAGTGTTGCGTGATCGCAGAGCCCAGAGGACAACTGCTTGAGGCCGGTCACACACGGCCTGGTTTCTTGGTTTAGTTCCATCCTACTAAACTTACCACCCGTTCCGAACCACTATAGGGTAAGTCGAGATGTACAATTGCTATGGTCGACCTTTTCTAACCCCCTCTCTCCAGAGTGGAGAGACAGCATAGCTGGCTGGCTGGCATGCTAGTCATCTGAGGGAAACACCTCTCTGCTATTAAATCCCTGTTCCCCAGCAGTACGACTTCGCCTACAGACCCCCAGCATAGTGTAAGAAAAAAATTCTTTCATTAAGCCGGTAACATCGTTTTATCTAAACGCTATCCTAACAACTTTTCTGGCATGGTAGAACCTGCAGGAACAATAGTTCCAGCCAGTGTAGCTTGTTGGGCCACTGTGGTGTGCAAACCCGACCACCACGTCAAGGTAGCAGCTATCAGTGATATGGCTCAAAATCGTCCTCAATGGCTAGTGTAGATGCATCCACTTATCTCATATCCACGTCTGCTGTCTCTATTTTGCATTTTCTTCTACTTTCTTCTCTTGCTTTGTGTGGTATAAGGAGGGAGTGTGGCGACTTGAACTGCTGCACAATGGGGTAAACTTCTATCTTGAAAACAGAGAGACAGACAGACAGGCTACCTCGCCTAGTTTACTAGCCGAGAAGTAGTAAATCCAGGAAAGAAGGAAGGCTCGCATAAGAGAAAAACAACACAACTTCTATTGGGACTTCAAGGAACCAAGTCTGGAGGCTGTAATATAATTTCACTCGAAACACCAAGGAATACAAAAGTATATAACTTACAGCAGTTCATCACGATTCGACACAACTGAATCCCCACTAACTACCTGATTTATAGGTAAATCATTTAAATTAATATAATTTGTGTAGGTCATTGGTGAAAATAATGATTGCAGGAGGAAGATATTATCATTCTGTAAATGGTTATTCGACTTTCTTGTGATATCTAATAATTTACTATTGACTAAAACATTATTCACTTGTATTGTAGACGATGATACTTTCAAAGGTGGGACAGTTGGTTGTTTTATTGATGGTGTTAGGGGGGTTGGTGTCGTTGATGTTGCTTCTCGAGTCATTGCAACCGGATCACACTCTGAGTTGACATTAGATACTGGAAGCTGGGAGATAACCTTCAATGAAGCGGGATTTGGAGAAGGCATAATATTCGTTGTTGTTGTTGTTGATCCTGTTGTACTAACAGTAGACTTGCTGGTGGTAGTTGTCCTGTCTGCACATCTTTACACTGATATTCTTTCAATACAGTGACAATTAATTCGTCTAAATCGTAGACCACTCGATTGATTAAATCCTCTGGATCAATTAGGCGTCTAACATCGTCAAGTACTTCAGTATGCGGGAAATCATTCATATCATAGGGTAAACGTGATAAACGATTACTATTACTTTTATCGTTAGGATTAGTTATTGGTTTATTCAACAATTTATTAGGATCAGAAGATTCTAAAGTTTTGGTTACACCACGTATTGGTAGTTGTTGTTGTTGTTGTTGTTTCGGTATAGACAGTTTGGTTTTAATGTTTTCCTTGACTGGTTTATGATGAGTATCTGTAGAGTGAAATAAACAAAAAGCAGAGAAAGTCAAACAATTGTATGTCATTGTGAAATTTTATGCTTTGTGGTCATCGCAGATAACTGAAATCTTATTATACATATCTCCACTTTGATTGCATGGAGGATTTCATCATGAGCTGACATTAGTTAGAGAACCACTGGAAAACCTGGGAGTACTAGACAACTGTTTCGTCCTAGTTTGGGACTCTTCAACAGTACGCACCCTATAAAAACCAATACTTGAAAAGATTATTTATTTATTTATTTATTTAAACGCAGAAAAAACTTGGTACAATATGACACCAAGAAAGATGCGCAACACAATTTTATTTCATTTTTTGTGTGAAGGCTAAGATACTTCTCGGGCGCCCAGACCAAAGCAGGTGGTTTCCTTAAGGGACCACCCCCCCCAGCCTATGACTTGAAGCTTAATCCGCAAGGCAGCGGAGCAGCATCAGGAGGTGCATTCCCATGGTTTCCGGTGACCCATATGGGTTTATACGCCATTTGATCCTATTGAATTCTGGAGCCCATGTACCCCATGGTAACTACTTTTAGTCTAACCGCTATCCAAACAACATTCCTGACATGGTAGGACCTGTAGGGACATGAGTCCTAGCCAGTTTAGTTTGTTGGGTCACTGAGGTATTCAAGCCCGACCACCATGACAAGGTAACAGTTGTCGCCCGGGATACTTGAAAAGAACATCTTCAATTTCTTCTTTTTCTGCTGTCCTTTTTACCTGGGTTCACGACTAACCATAATCTCTCATCTCTCCCTCCCTCCCTACACCATCCACTCCACGTCACCCTCGAACTAACAACCCTCTCTCATTGTTATTAGTATCACTATCGCTACTATCATTATTTATTTTATTTTTACATTTCCTTACATACTTTCTGAATAATTTATCAGGGTAATTGTTAAGTTTCAAGGCCTCTTTTATGTGTATCACTTCCTGTCTTAGATTTTCCTTGGTACTACATAGTTTTTGTGATCTGCCACCTATGCATCTCACCAATCCTATTTTTACTGACATAGGATGGGATGATCTCAAGTCCAAATATCTGTTCATGAATAAGGTTTTCTTTGGAACTGAGTCGGCGACCAGTTTAGACTGCTTATCTTTCATGTTGCTGTCAATAAATCGGTTAGGGTAACCGTTTTCTGCGAGTGTGGCTTTCAGGAAGTCAAGTTCTGAGTCGACGCAATCAGAACTACAAATTTTCCTTATCCTATAGCAGAGTGAATGGATTAAATTCCTTTTCCTGGAAATAGGCACCCAACTGTAAAAATTATTTAGTTGTCCGTTCCATGTACGTTTCCGGTGGGTCGATCTTTTGAGAGATCCGTCATTACGTCTGCTGAGGCACACATCAAAAAACGGAATACTTGGTTCACATTCCTTTTCGATGGTGAATTGTAAAGAAGGATGGCAGTTGTTGAAGGCGAACAGGACATCATCAAGAACTACGTTCTTATCGCAGATGACGAAAGTGTCGTCTACGTATCTATTATAAATGTCAAAATGACCGATGGTTTGACTAAGTTGAGAATTTTCCAACTTTACCATAAAACAATCAGCCGACAAAGGACCCAGTGGTGATCCCATGGCAATGCCATTTCTCTGTCTATAGATCTCATTGTTGAAGGTGAACTGAACATTCAACGTACATCTCAATAAAAGTTATTTGAGGTGGATTGTCGGTAAACCTATTTCCAAACCATGTGTATCAATATACTCACATAAATAGCTAACAGTTTCCATGAGAGGAACATTGGTAAATAGCGACGTGACATCTAATGAGAACAGGACTTTTTCTGAGACATTAAAATCTTTAATACTATCAAATTTAAACGTATCATCAATGGAAAACTTAGATACTTGCCTTCTGACTGGTTCCAGCATTTCGGCTAACCGATTTATTTACAGCAACATGAAAGATAAGCAGTCTAAACTGGTCACCGACTCAGTTCCAAAGAAAACCTTATTCATGAGCTTGGAATTCAAAGGAGATCAAGCTTCAGATATGCTCAAAAATCGTCTTTCTAAATCAGTTAGTAAAACGTTCCCTGCAGCTAGATTACAAATGACGTTCACGAGCCGCAAATTGTTCTCTTCCTCTGTAAAAGATAAGCTCCCCCGGCTGACCGCCTCCATTTGCATCTACCAGTTCACCTGCTCTTGTGGAGCAAGATACATTGGCCGTAGTCAGAGGACGCTCTCCACACGGATACGAGAACATATTCCAGCTTGGTTTTACAAGGGAGAAATGAAATGTGTACGAAGCTCTATCTTAGAACACCTCATCGACTTCTGTCACTCGGTCAACCCTGACCATGATTTCAAGGTCATATATAGAATTCATGCTAACTTCCCGCGTTTTCTTCGTTACAGACTTCTAAAGACAGCTGAGGCCTTGGCAATTCATGACTTTAAGCCAGACCTTTGTGTACAAAAGAAGTATGTACAATCCCTACTGCTGCCTTGGCCGTAGAGGGATAGACATTTATTTATTTTATTATTCTATGTACTTTACCCTTATTACTTCGATTATTTTTATTATTATTATCATTATTATTATTACGACTCTCACTCTGAATCTTTTCCACTTGACCTACTTGACATTTTTAACCAAAAATTATTCATGTGTATACTTTTTATCTTTATTTTTACAATATTAAATTCTATGTTATCAAATTTCACACCATGTTACGCAACATTTTATATTCGTGTATTAATCTTACAATTATATTCCTCTCCCCAAAATCTATACACCTGATGTATTATCTTATATATGACATTAATTATTGTTCCACTTGACTTAAACTATGAATATAATCACAAATATTTTAAATTCATTTCGTACTACTATTATTTCATGTATTTACACCTTTGACCTAATTCCCTCACCGGATATAATTTCTTTATAAAACCATATATATACAATTGTACACCTTGATAATAAATTCGTTGTTGGAGTGAGTCTCTTCGCTGAAAATTGTGTTCCTAATACATCTAATAAACAAACTAATACTGAATTACCTTTTACCACAGTGCCCAAGTTTTACACATATATTAACATGACTTGTGGTAGGAGCTGTCTGCTAGCCAAAATTGTAGATAGCGATTTAAGTCAGTCTTTACGTCCTAAATATTGGTTATGAGAAAACAAACAAGAACAAAGACCAACGCAACAACCAATCACAGTAGACTTTGCGTGGGGGGGTACGATTCGCAGATATCTACGGTCGGACTATTAAAGAAACGGCCACAACAAAGAGATGACAGAATAACTTTCAGTGAGAAAACAACCAATCAGAAGAGGTTGTTTCTCTGCTGAAAAACAACGAATAATAATGTACATAAAAAAATATCCATAAATATCTCTTGATTTCCTCGGTAAACAGTCTGTCACCTGGCTCTTGTCTTCTGTCGTTACAGTACTTGCTTACCGAATTTCACTAATGAGAAACGTAAATCGTGAATCACATCATCTAAAACGAATTTCTCACAAGTAACAATAAAAAATACCCGAGGGTAAACAGAAAGAACAACAAACAAACAAACAATAAACAATTTACCATCTGTACGTGATAAAAACATTTCATCCGACGTATAATAAGGTTCATGTTCTGGTGATCCACTGGCATTGATTAAATCAGGATAAGCAATCATCTGGAATGGCATTAAACTTTGTACAACACCAGTGAAATTTAAGTATTCAGTTGCAGATTTCGTCATATTTGTCAGAGTATCATCCTTATTCGATGTATTCTTCTCGTCTTGTTTACATGCATCAGTCGTCGTCGTCGACATCATCATGGAACTGGTACCAGCATTGGAGGTAGTAGTATGATCAGATATTTTGGATTGTGAAGTACGACTGGACACTGAGAATAAATCGATAAGGAAAAAAGTTCAATAACCACACAAAAACCTACTTTTTAAGAGTTGGTTTGTAGGGAGTGATTCTGATTCAAGTTTCCCTGCGGATTGAGAACCATTCTTTAGTCACCCTAGTTTAGGACTCATCGGTAGTAGGCACCCACCACAGGGTTTTTTTTAACCCAGGACTTTCCAGTTACAAGGTAAGCTCGTAGACCATTTAACCACTGGGACCTGACTTAGTGACCAGCCCATGAATCCTAACATCGCTAGTTGCTGGCTACAGGAGGGAGTTTCCTGGAGTTCTAGTGAGAAGTAATGAATGACCAGTGTGAGGAGAAATGCACACCAATAACATTGCCTAGTCATTGAGTCGGTCCCAGTGGTTGAATAGTCTACATGTTTGCATTCTAAACCCGAAGGTCCTGGGTTCTAATCCCGGTAGGTGGATACTGATAATGATTTCCAAACTAGGCTGATGAAACATCTGGCTGTCCAGTACTCCATGCTGGTTTCCAATGGTTCTCTAACTAATATTGATTCGTGGTCAAATGTGAAAAATAAACACATACATAATGTTCGAAAAAGCAAAGGAAGTGACCCTTTCAGATGATGTTACTAATGGATAAAGAGTTTTAAACAAAACACTAAGAAGATTTTATTGATTTGTTTACGTAACATTGCGAGTAAGTTCATGGACTGCGTTACAAAATCGCTGATTACAAATGAATCAAACGTTGGTTTATCCATTCATGAGAGGTATTGAATCTATGGAGGATATCAACATAGAGTGTTAATTAACCATGGCTTTATGCATGTCTGTCTGTAGAGTGATTACCAAAGCAGAATTATCAGTTGAAAAGAACTGATGCGCACTGATGAGTACAGACCCACGCTAGGAAGTAAATATTACATCTCACCAAATTCTTGAAGTAAGTAATCTCTTTTTAGTTCATAATGGCCAACGATGGTATCCAAGGAATACCTTTCATCGCATTTTGGACTTGACATCTGCGTATACCATTATAACAGCGAAGTTTTAAAATGACAAATAAGAAGTGGATTACGAAACATACTCAGACTTTAGCAGCTTAGAGATTTTAAGAAACTTTTCGCTATATCTACCTCTTCACCTAGAAAGAACACCTTTCTTCGATAGCAAATTTTCAAAGTCCACTGGAGTCACATCTTTGAGTTTGTTTGCAATTAAATAAAAGCTGAAATGTAAGACTAAGCATAATATTATTCTCTTGGGTTCCTAGTGGAACAAAGGTCGTCAAGAACACATTTCCACTCTCTATTTTCTGCCATCCTCTTCAGCTGGGTCCACGATCACCCAAAAGTCTCTTATTTCCTCCTCCAAGTCACATGATCTCCTCCATGTCACCCTCGCAATAATGACGTTTTCATCGTCTCCCATTCACCTTCCACTCGAGCACTGGCCTGCACTGGGCGCGATGTAATTCCACAGCTTTCTCAATGTGTGCCCGATCCATCTCCATTTTCTCCTACATATTTGTTGGGCAATCGACTCTTGTCTGTTGGCTTGTTTTCTGCCAGAGTGGCTGGTAATTTGATCTTCAATATGGAGCAAAGGCAGCTGTTGATGAAGGCCTACAACCTTTTGTAAATCCTTTTCGTAACACGTCAAGTTTCTAGCTCGTATCAAAACGACCAACTTGATATTCGTGCCTGGATGAGTAAAGGGAGTAACCTCTTTCCAGTTTCTTCTGTTGATGGTGATTAGGGCTGATTGTTGCTGTTGGTTGATTGATTGATTGATTGATTATCTTCATCCACTCTGTCTTCGTCAAGTTCCCCTTCAGTTCTGCTTTCGCTGCCTGCCTCTTCTGACAGTCTGTTGGCCTCCACCTGTAAGTCTTCAAAAGTTTGTGTGACATTAGACATATATATCATCTGCGAAATCCAGATCTTCTAGAGTTTTCTTATCGGTGGAGTCCAGCGTATTCCTTTCACCTCGTCTTCAAGTTCAGTCTAACGCATAATCCAGTCCACCACCACAATTAAGAATATCATCAGTGATAATAGACAGTCAACTTGTCTTACTCATGTATGCACTTCGACGCCTCTCTGAGTTTCCCGTTGTAGATCACCTGACACGTGGCATTGTCATATAGCCAGCTGTTGAATGAGATTAGGCGTAATAATGAACACTAATGATTGTCCACAAGCCAAATAACAATTAAGGATGAAGAGAATCAGAATTGTTAGATATTAAGTGTTCTTCATGATACAAGGTACTAACAGTCCTGAATTCATATTATAAGGTTGAAGGAAATCGGCTGAAAGAATTCAACACTCTTCAGCAAGGAGTATCTGGAACTCTGAAGAAAATTGATGCTCTATTTCATTATCGTTTATAGTTATTTTCATTCTTTGAATACCCTGTGCGACATAAAGCTTTAAGCTCTGATGGTGCAGACGTTTCTTTTTTCAAGGTTTCATTTTCCTGTTAGCTGATCGAACCGTAATGTCCGTCTTCTATGGAAATGTCAGCTCCTAGTACGGACGCCTTCTGAACGATTTAGGTAACTGATAGCTATTGCAGAAGAAGAAGAGATGGTGCTCTCCTAGTCTGAATAGTTAAGTGGATAATGCTGCGGCATTTGCAATGAGAGGCACTGGATTCGAGTCTCAATCGGGATACACATCATCACTCACTGGGTAATGAAGGTATATCCAACTGACAAGTCTTATATTGGACGAAGTGAGCACCCTCGATTCCACTGTTAGTCATCCACCATCCACAAAATTACATCAAATGATAAAAAAAAAGATAAGTGATGAGACATTCTGTTGATTATACTAAAAATACAGGATGAAAAGTTTTATAAACTCTCACTTTCATATAACCAATTCACAGAATTCATATCCAGTGGTTTTTTAACTTGTTCCTTTCTCAATTTATTAGGCATTTCCTGTAAAATATTACAAAATACAAAAATAATTATTCATCAGTGAGTATTAATCAAAGTTTAAACAAGATAACCTTGATATTAATAGAAGAGATTTTATGATCATTGGCGTGTTCTACTGATAAGATTTATCAGCAGTATATACATACATAAAGAAATGTTCGTTAGCATAAAGCATTGAATAGCAGGGAGACAGATTTAATGTCAGAGAAAGTAAACTATACAGCATTACGGAAATACATAGGAGACGACGTGAAAGGAACACAAAGAAACACAATACGCAAAGAGTGGGCAGGAGTAGCAGAACACGGCAGATCTGTGCAAATGATGCGTTGAAGTCGAAGTATTCATAATTTAGTTATATGAATATACCAATTCCGACTGACACATACGTTAACCAACTTCTGCCAATTCACCAGGTAGCGCGACCATTAGCCTGTGTCATCAGCGACCATTTGTACTCATACTCGACCTGCTGCACCCTACTGGTCACCACTTCCCACTCAAGATGAAATACTGTAACCAATCAACCAAATCCTCACAAACCAATACTTGAATACCACTGAGATGATCACTAGAGACTGGGCCTATTCAGGTAGGTAGTTACCTGGGTTCTAGTGAGAAGTCGTGACCACTGAGGTACAGCAGGTCATCGAGTGTGAGGACAAATACTCGCCAAAGACATTGGCTAGCAGTCGCAGTACGTTGTAAATTGGAAAACGTTGGAAATCATGGATCATCAGATCGGGCCCCAGTGGCTTAATGGTCTGCGAGCTGGACAGCGTTGTAACCAGAAGGTCCTGAGTTCGAACCCCCCTATGGCGGGAGCGTACTGATGAAAAGTTCCAAACTAGCACGAAACAACTGCCCAGTACTCCCTGGTGGTTTTCCAATGGTTCTGTAACCAATGTCAGCTCATGATGAGATCCGCCAACCTATCTAACCTATATATATATATATATATATATATATATATATATAAATATTTCCAGGCATAAACTATCACCAAGACTGTGTACTAGGAATGTGATTAGTTGGTTTCAGCAGACAACTTTCAACCTATCGATTGCATATGGGAATTTTATTTAATCTACGGAGGTTTGGGAGTAAGTTGAGTAGCATTATCAAGCAATATTCAGTAGATATGGCCCATAGCCACTTTGTTATTGAATAACATTTTGCATATCTTCAACTACCGTAGGTGTTGACGTATTTTTTATAATTGAATAACACAAATATTGGAAGAAAGTGAGGTTAGAGGACACCCGAACACCTGAATATATACACGTTAACCATGTCGAACTACCAAAGAAAAGCAAAATTAAGTCATCTCAGCAACTGAAGAGAGAAATCATGTTCTTATTCACTCCAAGAAAAATATTAAGCCACATCATCCTAGGGGGATTTAAAGATACTGTGGATGTCACGACAAACCGGATTCAGTCAGCAAAAGTAGGTCAAACTGCAACGCTACACATCATCATCATCATCATCGAATTTCTACATCGTCTTCTTTGAAAAGAATTTTAATCATGTCTACCGTGAAGTTATTTAGAAATTTTTCTTCAACACTATGGAGTGTAACACCGCAAACATTCACAAACTTCATTCGGCAGTTGTATGATGATGATGCCACATGTCAAATGAGTGTGAACTGAAGACATGAGTAAGACAAAACTGTCTACTGGATCATGCCGAAGACTATGGAAGGCGAGGAGATAATCATTCGTTAAACCAACAATAAGACTCTAAAATCCGGGAAATTCACAGATAATTTATGTATAATATCACAGAATCTCGAAACCAACAAGTAAGTAGAAGAGGCTGGCAGTGAAGACAGTGTCTCAAGTAAACATAGAGGCGTCAGACTTTCATCAACAGCTACCTTCGCTCAATACTGAATGTCAGATGGTCAGACAAAGACGATATGCAACACGAAATTCTGACCTATTGCACAACATGTATGCAGAAGAAAGTGGAGATGAAATTGATACCAACTAAGGAGATCATTGACAGGCATCACGTGCTAGACCCTAGAGTGGAGAATCTAGATTAGAGCCTATGAGTTGATCGTCAAATGGTGACTTGGAAGAGATTGCGTGAAGAAGAATTGAAGGCTAATGAGCAATCATGGAAACAGCTACTAAAGACTTCAAAGAAGAAATGAAGATGTGCCGCTAAACCGAATGTCTCACTCGGGACTCGTGGAAATGATATTAAGTAATACAATTGCGAAAGGTAGCCTGTGTCGATGGTTCAGTGGTTCAGCGTACTGGCCAACCATGCATATGCTGTAGGGGTTGAATTCCTGGCCGACTCATTTCTAAGCTTTTCTTGGTAGGTAATATGCCCGGTGAATTCTAAAGAAACCTGCAATATGATGCAAGGACTTCCTGAAGACCGACTCCTAATCAACTTTGTATCACACCACTATTTCTGTATTTAATACTTATAACGCAATCAAATAGTGGTATTTTTTTAAAAATAATGTGCCAGACAAAGCTTTCTTTTCCAAATTCATAAAACAATTATACCAGGCCCTTAACAAATTGTCTGAAGATGAGACAATGAGAGTGACAGTTAGCTCCTAATATTTCCCAAGCTTTGAGCATTGAATTATTAGAGATTTCCTGCGGTTGGCGCACATCTTCTTCCTATCCAACCATCTACGCATTTATCATCAAAACAAATTAAATGAATAAACAAAACAAAAAACAAAACCGCTAGGCACTAACCCCTGGAAGATCAAACCATTCAGGGAAAAATTTTAAATGACTTGACAATAAATCTTCAAATGATTGTTGAATGAAAGTTGATTGTGTCGGCATATCATTGTCAACATCGTCATCATCATCATCTCCATTGTCATCATCATCACCGTCGTCGTCGTCGTCCCCATCATCATCGTCTTCGATGACATCATCATCACCATCATCATCGTCATCCGCCTCAACATCTTGTTCATCATCGACATCAACAACACCGGAAGCATCAACTGGTCGATTGACACTGACTAATCTTTGAGGTGATGGTGATTTCTCTTCATCTTGACATGAAACAGTTTGTAATTTGTTGTAGTTTGTTAAACTATCGGAATTCTTTTGTTGTTGTTGTTGTTGTGGCTGTGGTGGTGGTGGTTGTCGACTTTGCTTCAATCTTCCAACTGATGATTTCTCCTTTGACTTATGATCAAATTTACCACCATCTGATTTTGTACAATTTGTTAATTCAGTACATGATCGACTTGTAGCGTAATACAAATTAGTTTGCTTTGAAGGATTAGTTGGAGAATAGATGTTGCTATCATCGATGCATTCATAATTATTACATGCGTTAAGAATCGATTTATTATTAGGGAAAATATCAGAATTTTGCCCATAGATTGGTGAGGAGAGATGCTTACTCTAAAAAAAATACAAACAAGAAACAATTTGAAGACAGCTATTTGTTTATATCAATATAGAAATTCAAAATAAGGTTAAAATTCAAGTGATGTGATAAAGGAAGTGGACCAAATAACTTCAGCTTATCACCCAGCATCTTCCAGTATCTCATTAAACGATCACATCTGTGTTATGGAATTGGAGGTAATCAGCAGGTTGACGCCTGTTATAATCTACAACAATGTGTGTTTTGTCATACTGACGTATGCCAATAGGTACGAAGCCTAGATCTAGAGCTACCTACAGATGAACATTTTCACGATGTTAACTGTTATGTAGCTTGTCGAGCATGCTGTAAACCGAACTGTTTGAATTCATTCAACGCAAATCGAAAGACTAGACACATCATATCAGTGCATTATCAATGAAGACATTTGCTAGATGTTTTGAGGGAGTCGAAAGGACGTCTCATCAGCAATGAGTGTGTGAAAACTTGAAAGTACACATATTCCCCCCCCCCCTGCAGAAATTCAAACACTGATCACCCACTGATGCAATCACAGAAGTTATCACCACTAAGCTATTCCGAATCGTGATTAATCTCCCGTAGGACTGTGCGTCGGTGGCACAGTGGTTAGGACTCTCGCCGACCATGCACATGGTCCGGGGTTCGAGCCCACGCCGGCGCACACCTGATATCTATGGTCGGCCTGCAAAAATTTGGGCTACCGATATCCATGCTGAAAATTCCATACTTGTACCAAAAATACGGTGTGGAATCAAGCTGTTAATCAAAAAAAAAAATAAATAAATGAATACTTTGATTAGATATTAGGTAGTAAATAAGGTCATGGGTCTGGTCCTTCATTTGGTGTAGACTATATTACACCAGTCCAATTTGAGTAGCCTAGTGGTAAAGTCTTTGACTGCAGTAATAGGTGGTGACACTGGTTCGAATCCCAAAAGGGACGTGAGTTCCTTCAAGACTGTAGATACGCTTTACTAAATGATGAGTGCTAACAAAAGATTCATCTAAAATTAGCTCTCGTAAAGTGTGTCAGATGATGAGGCTACAAAACTGGATTACACTGACTCATTCCTAGCTTAAAGATAGGCAGCGATTAAAGTGGTTGATGGAGCGTGTTGACCAATTCATTTATTTGGGGAGTTGCGTCAGTCTACGCCAGTGGGTTGGTCTTTGACGAAATCTTAAACCGTATACAGAAGCTTCATTTGGTATATGCTAATTTACGCCATCTCTGGATTAGTAGACGTGATATCCGGCTGACCAGCTATCTATGAAAGTACATGTGTACTACTCAGAAGTTCACTCCATCTACCTCCTTTATGCCTTGCTGTGAGAAATACATGGCCATTAAAAGTGAAAGACATGGAAAACCAGGCCAGTTATCTGTCTTTGATCATAGGTGTCTAGCTTCTGTCTTCCGTTTTTGGTGGCTTGTTACAACAGGGTGAGTAATACTAAGGTGAAGCATCGGTCGAGTGCTAGGTAGTGAGAGGGAAAATCAATCGACGAGGTTGTGAAGTCACATCTACTGAGAGAGATGGTTAGGACATCTGTTACGAATGTTTGCCTAGCCATCGATCACCTTCCTCGACAAAAGACAATGTTAGCTGCCGATATAGGATCGATCGGGTCGGAAAAGAGACAGTGGTTGGCGGCCAAACCAAAACATGGCATCACTCAGTGAAATTCACAACATTTAGTTTCGGCCACATAGGAAGGTGTAGACATCATGGTTGGGGTCTTTGAGACGGTAAGCACCAATCACTTGAGACGATTGATTATGTGGCTCAAAATGGTTCTCAATGGCTGGCGCAGATGCATTCACTCCTTAAGACTTTACAATAAATACCCAATGAAACTATATTGTTCTTCGATATTACTATTCTTTTTGTCTCATCTCTCTGTTAACTGTCTCCATTTCCTTTTACTTTCTTCTCTTGCTTTGTGTGCTACAAGGAGCGAGTGTGGCAACTCGAACTGCTGCACATCGGTGCTAATGTTCTATGTTGAAACCAGTCAGTCAGTCAAAGTATCAACAAGTACAAAGCCAAGATCCAAGGTTTGCTGTCGATTGTCTCAGACCATCTAATAACAATTATTCAGAGTGCATTGTGATTTCAGGCTACAGATTATAGTAGGCGTTGAGATCCGATCCAAATGCTAGTCCATGAATTCTAACTTCTTCCAATTCACGCACGGCATAGCGCGACCACCTCTCAATATCTTCTTTGATGATTTACTGCCTCACTTTCAACCTGCTTTACCCTACTGGTCACGGCTTCTCACTGTAACCGGCCCAGGTTAACTGCCTGAATTGGGCCAGTCGCTAGTGAGAATTAGATTTCGAGTATTCGTTCTGTAGGGATTTTGTTTGATTCTTTGAAGGATTTCATCGAGAGCTGACATCAGTTAGAGAACCATTGGGCCATTGGATCGGGTCCAAGTGGCTTAGTGGTCTACGAGCTCACTGGACTTGTAACCACAAGCTCCTGAGTTCAAATCCCTATGGCGGGTGCGTACTGATGAGGAAACCCAAACTAAGATGAAACGGTTGGCTTTCCAGAACTCCCAGATGGTTTTCCGTTAGTTCTCTAACTGTTTCACAGCTCATGATGAAATCCTCCGACCGATCAAACAAAATCCCTATAAAACCTACTACTTCAAATGTTTACAACTGATATTCTATTACGCAATTGTAAATGCCTAGTGAGAATTTATTGAATATACATATTTGTTTGCTTAAATCGTCTTTTAAAGTTAAACTAAGGGGAATATTTAAATTTAAGTTTTGCACTTTCACACTACTTATATACTTCAGTAGTATACTTCAAGTATATATAAAAATAAAAGCAAGATAATAATAATTACTTCACTTCTTGACTTCTTTTTGTTAATTTTAGAATCTTTGTGTTTTGTAGACGATAGGTACACACGTGGATAAGATTTGTTACAATCGTGTGACGCATTTACACAGGCAACAGTAGCACTGCTAGCAGTGGTAGTAGCAGTAGTTGAAGGCGGTATATTCAACAAATGTCTAGCAGTTGTACTCGGGGAAGTACACTCATTCAAAGGTGATCTCCGTTTATTCTCATAACGGTGATGCTGTTGATTTTGATGTTGATGATGATGCTGACTGTGAACTAGTCTAGATTGTGATTTAGCTTTCCGACACTTTACATTTGATAATTTCGTATTGTGTATCTTTTTCTTCATTACAGTAAGACTGTTTATTGATTGATTTTTGATGGATAAATAATCGATTGATGTTGTTGTTGTAGTTGATTGTGTAATCAAGGATTGACTTAAGGTGAAATTATTCTGTGTATGAAGTGATGAAATTTGTTGTTGTTGTTGTTTACGATTTGTACTATTTGGTTTATTATTGAAGTCATTGAGAGATTTTTGTGGGGCTGGTGTTGGTGTATCATCCAACCTTGATAGAAAATAGAAAAAACAAACAAAAGAAAATGGGATGAGAGAGAGAAAAAGAGAATATGCTGACCTCATAGTGTAAAACGTGACGGTAAACATGTAAACAGAAAGATGAACTTTCAAATACGTAGTATTCTTCAATGATAAAAGTACAAACTCTTTTAGCTGGTTGAGTGACTTTCAACGTAGATATTTGCATAGGAATCAAGCAGTTGAAGTCACTTTGTTTTTTCTTTGATTTACAGCTTGATTCCATACTGTATTTTCGGTACAAGTATGGAATTTTCAGCATGGATATCGGTAGCCCAAATTTTGCAGGCCGACCATAGAAATCAGGTGTGCGTCGGTGCAGGCTCGAACCCCGGACCATGTGCATGGTCGGCGAGAGTCCTAACCACTGGGCCACCGACGCACATTCTAAGAAGCAAGAAAAAGTAGTTTTTCCAGGGTTGGTGAAGAAAGGCTATACCTTATTACGCAGGATGGTAAAGGTTGTCTGCAGGGTAAGCCACAGGGTGCCACTTAACCAGCTTGTTAATATTCTGGTCGACAGGCACTTGGACTCATGTCAAAAATGAGCACAATCCATTCTATCTATCTAACTCACACCACCCTCTTCATTCACAACTCTCCCCTCGTATCTCATCAGGCAGGACCAGAAGCCTATATAGAAAATTATATGGTCACACTAGCAAGTACAAAAACTCAGCCATACCCTGCTTAGCTCGTGTTCTGTGCGATAAAGAAAGCATTAGGCGTGATATCTATAACTTATTAAATAGTCAGTAGAACAACTGGATCTCATCTTTCCAACTCATATCATTTATAGGTACAACGTTTTCTTTCTTTCTTTTCCTTTTCTCTTCTTTTGTTATGCGCTGTTTTGTTTCTTTCTTCATTACAAACTCTACTTAAAACATTCTTCTTCGTTCTTTCATGCTCTGCATATCTCGACCTTTTTGTTACCACTTACACCATTAAATATGCTAGCATCAACTTTCCTAACACCTTCAGACACTCTGTTCACTTTCGGCTTTCCTACCGACATGCCAATATGTTGTTGTCAAAACGAACTGAGATTACCCTTAATCTATATAGAATTTTTATTTATTGTTAATGTACTCACTGGATGCGATACTGTAGTGAAATGCTGAGAATTCCATTCTGTATCACAAGTACTGTTTTGGAATAAAGCAAATTATTATTATTACTATTATTTTTATTATCATGGACAGGAATATGCAGTGATCACAAAGAGGGAATGTATCTGCACCAGTCAGCAAGATTTCGAACTACATTTTCAATAGTCTCCAGCTATTGTTCGTTCCTAGCATCCCAAAGAAGCCACCTAGCTAAGCAGTCTACTCATGTCTACGTGTATGGTTCTAATCAACTACAAAAGACTTCCGGTTTTTGTGTGACCATTCTGTTAAAGCCTAATGCTATGTTAGCTGATATTGGTCAACGAGGATGGCAATGGCTAAGCCTCCGTAACATGTGTTTTAAACATCTCAGTCTATATTTTTGATTGGACACTAGTTCAGTAACTAGTGTCATGTGTTTAGTCCTTATTGTTTGATACAGACTGAATTCTACCAGTCAGGTTTGAAATGTGGCCACCATCCTAGGTAGCTCGCCATCACGGTGCACATTGATTTGATGATATTTGATGGTCAGTGGCAACGTCTCTGACTGCAAGCAGCACTGGCTGGTGACGCGGGTTTGAATGTCAGAAGGGATATGAGTTCCTTCAAGGTTGCCAATACGCCTTTCTGACTGACTGGTGAGTGCCAACTAGTACGAAACCTCGGTCCACGGCTTCCTGCTGACAGCCTCCAACCATCCCATAAAAATAAAATATTCCCATATTATGAATTAAAAGTTTATCTGAACGAAGAATATTCTTTTCAATAATTTCTCTTCAGGTTCTTACAATTATAAAATAAAGATCGATCCTGTCACAATTAGTCGATACTGGACATCGTATCGATGTCAACACAGCTCTCAGGGTTATATACCGAATTCCGAAGTCGTTATCACATACAGTTCGCTTACGTCTCCTACACATAGCTGAAGCTGTTGCAATAAGATCGACGAAACCGGAACTTTGTATCCAAGATGAACACGTCCAGACTCACTTCCTACCATGGCCAAACTTGGATTGATGATTCTTCTTCTCACCAAAAGTGCTCCTTACCCTTAACCCTCTTGGTCTTTTTCCTTTGCTTATTATTACAAATATTTTTATTACAATTATTATTAATATTATTATTTGTCATAATTTATGCCCTTCATGCAAACAAACCCTCAATACTATCGAATTTTTCATTTATACTATCCGGACTTATTATTAGTGACATTATCTCTTTTCTCAATATATGCCTCCACCTGTTTCATTTCACACATTCGTTATTTCATTATAAACCTCTCTCATTGCAGTCATACTATCTCCTGTTTAACACAGACCACTTTGTACTAGCCACTCACTCACCTGACACCTTTTATAACCTTGAACTGGCTTGTCAATTTTCCTACCCCACACTCCTTAAATCTATTTGGACTAAACACAATCACCATTGTCTCCCATTTTACAATATTTTGCAGTCGATTTCACCCCAGAGCACGTTTATCGCATAAATACGACTATTTATTTTGTCACCCTACGATAACTCATCTGTTATTCTACGTAAAAAATCTATCTTTATTGTAACGACAAAAAATATTATATTTTATAATTTTAAGAACCTGAAGAGAAGAATTTATTGAAAAGAATATTCTTCGTTCAGATTGACTTTTAATTCATCCAATAAAATCTCAATCTATGTAGCTTCACAACTTCATCGACTAACTTTCTCTCCTTAGTCAAATTGTTACATTATCTAACATAGGAGACAAAACGCGAACACCTATCGTCGAAGACTAGCGTCTTCATATCTTCAACTTTCACTGGTCATATCTCATAGCCATAAATAAGGATAGGGTAAACAGTTGCCAGTAGACACATCCTTCATTCGATAATTGGACATCACATCTCCGCTAAGTATGCCATAAATTAGCAAATGCTACACGAGGCATTTTATATCCATGGTGAGATTTCTGTACAAGTCAATCCATTAGGCTTGGTACAACTTCGTAAATAGGTGAAGTGGTCAACACACTGTACCACTTTACTTCCTCCCTAAAGGGCTAGAAGTCACTGAATGTTGAATATCTAATCTTGCATGCATTTTAATCACTCCATTTAAATGATGCCTACTATCGCCAATGATTTTCCTGATTGCAGTAGATTGGATAATGTGATGGACATCTGGATTTGCAGATGATATAAGTCTGATTTCCCACAAACTGGAAGATATGCAAGTGAAAAGCAACAAGTTGGCAGAAGAAGCACCAAAGATAAGACTTCAGGTAAACGTAGAGAAGACAGAGGTGATGAAGATTCCTGGCCAACAGCAACAGCAACAACAACAGACAACAATCAGCATAAATGGGAGGATCCTGAAAGAAACAACCTCCTTCGCCTACCTACATACCTACCTACCTATCGTTTCAACTACAGGCGGAACTGACGAGGATATCAAAGCAAGAATCGGAATAGCAAGACAAGTTTTCGTTACTCTCAAGTCTGTGTGGAGATCAACAGCATTTGGCATCAAAAATAAGATCCGGATTTTCAACTCCAATGTGAAGTCAGTGCTACTATACGGATCAGAGACTTGGCGCGTCACGAAGGGTAACTCGAACAAACTAAAAACTTCCATCAATAGCTGTTTTCATTCAATACTACTTAGGATCAGATGGCTGACAAGAAAAGATCAGCAACACGGATCGCTGGCAGTGAACGAACCAACCATACTCTGAGGAAACCATCAAGTGACATCACACGCCAGACCATCGTTCGAGTGTAACCCTAATGGGAAGCGGTGAGTCAGTCGGTCGTCAGTGCGAGAATGACATGGAGGAGGTCATGTGAAGAGGAGATAAAAACATATGGGCAGACGTGGAGCCAGGTGAAAGCGTTGAGGGAGAACCGAACGCAACGACTGAAGTCCTACGTTCCTCTAGTAATTAAAGGAAATAATGATAATAATAATAAAATGCAATGGCCAACCATTTCATCTTTCAAAATTCAATCGCGTAAGAACCCATCCAGTATATTCCTGTTTTTGACAGTATATGACTAGTGCATTGGATTTAGGCGTCAGTAATAATTAGTATACAATTGGTGAATGGTGGCTAGCAGTGGAATCCAGGATGCATATTTCGTCCTATTTGGGACTCGTCAGCTGGATGTACCTGCATTTCTCAGTGAGTGATGATGTTCCCACCGAGGCTCGAACCCAGTACCCATAGTTTCAAACGCCAAAGCGTTATCCACTAGACCACTAGGGCCACGAGAGCCACCTCTTGTGCAACGGGTCATATTAATTATTGAATTGAATCCATCGACGGGAAAATCAAAAATTCAATTCAATAATTAATATGACCCGTTGCACAAGAGGTGGCTCTCGTGGCCCAAGTGGTCTAGTGGATAACGCTTTGGCGTTTGAAACTATGGGTACTGGGTTCGAGCCTCGGTGGGAACATCATCACTCACTGAGAAATGCAGGTACATCCAGCTGACGAGTCCCAAATAGAACGAAATATGCATCCTGGATTCCACTGCTAGCCACCACCCACCAATTGTATACTAACTAAATGCCCGGACATCGTCGAAGCATCTGCACAAGAAGCCGACATGTCAACCTGAGACCGAGCACTTCGGTCCAGTCAATCAATCGACGGGAAAATCAAAAATTCAATTCAATAGTCAGTAATAATTATACATCGTACGAAATCGAATTTGAAACATTTTCCCAATAGGTATTTGAAGAAAATTATCATACATTGGCATGGTAGAATACATTGACCTTCACCTCTCTTCATTGTGATTTTTGTATTAGTTTTGTTCTTGCCTAACAGACACATTGACTAAGACAAGATTTATCAATCCATAAGAGGCAAAAATCTTATGCACAAAAATTCAAACTTCAGGTCAAGGAAACAATCAATACCGATAAAAATAGACTAGAGGGTTTTAGATAAGACCACAGATTGATATCAGTTAGAGAACCATTAAAAACCGGCACTACAGTACTGGACAGTTAGCCGTTTCATTCTAGTTTGGGACTGATCGGTAGTAGTACGCACACACCGGGGCCCGAAGCCAACACCTTCCGATCACAAGCCAAGCTCGTAGACCATACAACAGCCACTGAGACCAACACATGAATTCTAACTTCTACCAATTCATGATTTAAACGTGACTGGCACACCACCAATGTCATTGCTATCAGGTACTTGTCCTCATATCCAACCTACTGTATCTCACTGGTCACTGTAACCAATCAAATCTTCGTTAACCAAAACTTAAAAAACTGAATACAATTAAAAATATTAATAACATTTTTAAAAATTACCTTTTTTCTGAATTTGTAGTAGAATTAACTTGATATAATAAAGAAATCTCTTGATCCCATTTAACTTTTGCGCCATCTTTTCAGATAAAATTTAAACAAAGAAAAACAGCATAATAAATTTACGCTTGGTTATTGAAACTTTCTATAATACGAATTAATAAAATCGGGAGAGGGGGGGAAATAAATTACATTCAGAAGGATAATAGTTTGATAATCAGCTAATGATGAACCTAGTGGGCTCCCCACAGCAACACTACCGATCGTTTGAGCTAATATTCACTTTCAGATGTAAACTTAACATTTTCAGTATATAAAATGAGACACAGGTAATCAGAAATAGGCGTCACTTATAATTGGAGACTAGATAGTAACCAGTGTGGCGTCGAGCCACACTTAGAATGTGGCCACATTGAAAAACTCGATTGGTGGAATTGCATCTGCACCAAACAGACGACTAGACAAACATTACACTAGTTACTAAATAGTGTCCAACCAAAAGTATCTAATACATTCTTACAGTAGGTCAATCGTGAGTTCGAAAAACCCAGTGGAAGTAACGCCTCTGACTGGCTGGTGATGCGAGTTCGAATCTCAGAAAGGAGATGAGTTCCTTCAAGGTTGCAGATACAGCTTGCTGACTGACTGAAGAGTACCGAGCAGTACGAAACATAGGTCAGGCAGAGCTTCATACCGCCGATTGCCTCCAACCATCTAATATCAAAAAGAAATTGTTATTAGTTAGAGATGCAGTCATGGAAAATGTCAATCGTCTGCGACAGAGGTACATTTGTAAATAAAGAATCAACGTCTAAGGCAAACACGGTCTTGTCCTATAATATTAACATTATGAAGACATTCTATTAACTGAAAAAAACGTCATTATTAAGAAAAGTCTTAAAATGACCGAAGAAAAAGTTTAGCAAAGGTAACTTTTCGGCGATTTCATCCTCAAAACCTGTAAAATATCAATTTCATTTCTAAGTTTATGTAGTTACAATTATTTTCTTTTCCTTCACTTTCCCCAGTGGAACATAGGGCTTCAAGCTAGTGGCTTGAAGTTTCTGTAGCAGTGTTTATTTTTACAGGATGGAGTTGCTAGCCTCGTGCCTAACCTTTCCTCTTTACCAGCATTATTTCTAGCTTAGCAAGGTGAAGGAGTGCATCTGTGGCCGGGGATCGAACCCCGGACCATGTGCATGGTCGGCGAGCGTCCTAACTGCTATGCCACCGACGTATGTACAATTATTATTACCATTATTTAACTCGATGCAATACCGAAAGAGATTGTAGATGATGATAATGTTCAACTTGATAGGAATGAAGGTTTGAAGGTGTAGAAGTATAAATCACAAAAGGAATAGAAACAAAATTACATTAGTATGTTATTATTTCTAGTGTTCTCTTGGGGTTCCGAGTGGAGCATACACATCTCCACTTTCTTCTATCATCCACTGCCCTCTTCAACTGGGCCCAAGATTGCCCATAGTCTCTCATCTCCTCCAACTTGCACAATGTTCTACATGTCACTGTCACGTTGACGACCTACTCGTCTCTTCACATTCAGGTTCCGCTGGAAAAATAGCTTGGCGATGGTGCGATGTCAATCGACGGTTTTCTCAAAGTGTACCCTGCCCATCTCCATTTTCCGCTACGCATTCGCTGAACAATAAGTTCTAGGTTACTTCGTTACCAAAGTTTCTTGTTGCTAATTCTTTCTAGCTGGCTGGCCATTTGATCTTTAATTTGGAGCCAGAGAAGGCAGTTGCTAACAAACGTTTGCAGCTGCTGTCGCAAAAGCATCTCGTCATACGCCAACCAAGTTTTTCAGTCATATAGAAGCACTGACTACCTTGACAGTGGTGTTGAAAATCCATGTCTTGTTCTTTTTATCCTGAGGCGGAGTGCCGAAGCTTTCCAAACTGGTTTCAGGTTGACAAAGGCATATCTTGATATTCCAATTCTAGTTGTATTTGACATCTTCATTCTTGCCGTCGCATGTAGTTGAAACAATTCTTCTTAGATAAATAAAGGAAGTAACCTCTGTCAAATGTCTCCCTTGTGATGGTAAATGCTTCTGTTTGTTGTTCTTGCTTTTGGAGGTTGGTTGGTTTTCTTCATAACCTCTGCCGTCTCTATATCCACCTAGATGACGACCTCTTCCGTCAGTTTGTTGGATTCTGCCTGCAAGTCTTCAAGTTCGTGTGAGTGAGATTAGAAGTGAATAATCCACTGCGAAATCCAGATCTTCTAGATTCTTCTTGTGGATCCAAAATATTCTTGTTTTCTCGCTCCCGTGTGCTCAGTCTCACGTATAATCAAGTCCACCACAATAAGGAATATCATAGTGGGTGATAATAGGCGGGCAGTCTTGTCTTACTTTTGTATTCGCTTCAAAGGCAGGGTTCATTGCGTTTTCCGTTGTGGATCACAGAACACTTGCTACTGTCATATAGTAGACTGATGAATGAGGTTGATAAAGATTTGGACAACGCGCATCATGTTGTTAAAGTAGTTCCTTAAACGCTTCACGATCAACACTATCGAAGACCTTTTCAAATTGTTCGATGAACCTTAGGTAGGGAGAGGTTCGACTGCCATTCTATGCTTTGTTCGATGATGATTATCATGTTTAGAGTTTCAGTTTGATGATCAGCACATGGTTTGCCTTTTCTGAATCCAGCTTGTTCTGGTGGGATGGTAGAGTTCTGCATCCACCGCATTTTTCATTCTCTCCAGGATGACGTGACTTACTATTTTACTTGACGTGGACAAGACCATTATTCCACACGAGTCATTTTTTGCAATAATCGGCATCAGCACATCTACAACTGCCAGGATCCTACAAGAGGAGATTGGTTCCCACTCCATTAGGGCTTTAGCTGCCACTAATGACATCGTAATAGCTACTCATTGCCTCAGTGTGTGTCGTTTCGCCTCTGCAATTCCAACATTTAATAAGTTTGTTTCATAAATTTTTCCTTATTTTTAATATATATACTTCTTGTGCGTTGATTGGTTTGATTGGTTTTGTGGTGTAGGGTAGCTAGTCCTACGCCTGACCCTCCCTTTTTTACCCGTGCTTGGGACGGGCTAGAAAACTAGGCGAGGTTCATTTGTATACAATACTAAATCAAAAGGCATCAGCATTAAGCAATAATAATCCTCTTCATCCTCTCTCTCTCTCTCTTTCTCTAATCCTCTTTCTATGCATTCAAATTGAATTGTAAACCCATCACATTTAGAATGTCAAAGATTATGCATGTCATATATTCAGTGCATAACACACTTGAAAGGCATATTTTATTACTTTAGTTTTATGATTATTAAAAAAAAAAACAACATAAAAGCATCCATCTTCCTGCCTTGCTATTTAAAACAGCCTCTTTCGTGTATCTATTATCATTATTGACATTTTAGTACGGGTGATTGACTTGATGACCTAGTTTCATTACAAATCTTCATTTTGTTTAAATAAATTAAATATAAATTTAGGGAGAATTGAAGTTCACGACGACATTTGATGGATGGATAGATAATTCCAAAAAGAAGGTGAAAAATGCTTAAAATATTGACATCTTAGTTGGATTGTAATATGCGACATTGAATTGCTGACTTCTAGATTAAAGACAGATATGTTTATGCATTGAGTGATATGCAGTAGTGTGTTAATAACTGTTTAAATTACAGCTATTGGATGCATTGGATACAAACCTCCGCCATCCCACCGGAACAAGACGGATTCAGAAAAGGCAAATCATTTAATGACAATCAATTATTTATTTTATTATTGTCCCCTTGAGTTCCTAGTGGAACATGGGGCTTCAACTGCACGTCTCCACTTGCCTGCTTCTGCCTTCCTTCTGCTGTACTTTTCACCTGCATCCATCTTATTCCATACTCTTTCAAATCCTCTTCACACGATCTCTTCCATGTCACCCTTGCACTGGCGACCAACTCGCCGCCGCTTCCCTGTCGGCCTGGTTCCACTCGAGGAATGGCCTGACCCGCGCGCGATGTCACCCAGCCCGGCGGCCGCTTCCTCAGCGAGTGTCCAATCCATCTCCACTTTCTCCTGCATATTTGTTGGTTGGCGATTGGTCCTTGTTTTGTTTGTTCCCATAGTTGCTTGTTGGTGATTCTTTCCGGGCCGGCCATCTGATCTTCAGTGTAGATCCAGCGAAGACAGCTGTTGATAAAGGCTGGTCTGCAATAGGCTGTTGGAAATATTCTTTGTGACCCGCCCGCCAAGTTTCTGATCCGTAGAGGAGAACTAACTGACTTCACGTTGTTTGTATTGAAAATCCGTTGTTGAAATTTGTTGTTGATGCTGGCTGAGTGACGAAGATTTCCAGATTGTTTTTAGGTTGATGAATGTGTTTCTCGCCTTCCCAATTCTCGCTCGATTTGACATCCTCGTCAGTTCCAACTGCCTGTAGTTGAGACAATGCTCCCTATATAAGTGGTGAATGAAGCAACCTCTTTCAAATCCCTCCCGTTGATGGTGATGGATGACAATCAAACTAAAACTCTAAACATGATAATCGTCACTGAACAGAGCATAGAATGGCAGTCAAACCTCTCCCTACCTCAACTTCATCCACCTATTTGAATAGGTTATCGAAAGCTTTGAAATTATTTCCACACTACAGAGTGCCCTAAATCTTTTCGTCAACTTCATTCAAAAGTTGGCTATACGCGGCAATAACCAAGTGTCATGTGATCCACAACAGAAATCATGTATTCTGCTCATTCTTCTTTATTGTTCGCCCCACTTCTTCTTCCCTGGACTCTTCTCAAGAAAGACTATTTCATATTACGTGGAACATTGTCAGCTGTAAGTAGGGTCAATGATGTGGTGTCGACTGAACCAACTGACATTGTTCTTATCAGTAGGCATCTCAATTCTTGCAAGCAGTTAGCGAAAGTTATCTTGTCTCATACTGAACATCCTTAACAGTTAAACTGAGTCAGTCGGTCAGGTAGGGAGATGCAGACTTACGGGTTGGAGCCCTCGGGACTGACTCTAAGAATCAATGGCTGGAGACAATAGGTGGTGACATGGCTCAAAATCGTTAT